GAAGTCCATGGCTCGTAAGTTCCTGAGCCGGGGAAGCCAGTCCGGGATGGAGCCGCTGAAGCTGTTGTCCGAGAGGAAGAGGAACTGCAATGTCAAGACATTTTGGAGCATGGCTGGGACTTCTCCAGAGAGGTCGTTCGATCCAACGTCGAGGCCGATCAGTGAGCTCATCTTGCCGTAGGAGGCTGGGATTGAACCGATAAGATTGTTGCCGGAAAGCGACAGGAGGAGCAGGCGGCTCAAATTTCCAAAGCTGTCAGGGAGATTTCCAGAGAATTTGTTCTGTTCCAGATAGAGGGTGACGAGCTCCGTGCAGTTGGAGAGTCCGGAAGGGAGCTCCCCACCGATGTCGTTGCCGTCAAGAGTTAGCTGCTGGAGATGCGAGAGCTTCGAGAGCTCGCCTGGGATGGTTCCAGTCAAGTCATTGTTGTTGAGCCATATCTCTCTGATGTTTGAGCAGTTTCCAAGCTCCGGAGGTATAGAGCCACTGAAACGATTTCTCGTGAGAACCAGCAGCCTCAAGTTCGTCAAGCTTCCCACCCTCGCTGGTACCGTCCCGTTAAACAAGTTTCGCAAGAGGTGCAAAGTCTCGATGCTCGCAAAGTCGCCATCTTCCAGCTCCAGTGGCCCGGAGAGAAAGTTGTTTCCAGCGCTTAAAACCGAGAGTTTGCGTAGCCTTCGCAAGCTCGGTGGCAAACCACCCTGGAGCGAATTGCTGGAGATATCCAAGTACCTGAGCTCCAAGTTCTTGCTCCAGATATCGGGTAGATCTCCGCTAAACTTGTTATACGATATGTCCAGGCGCATCAAGTTCGACATCTCCCCGAAAGTCTCTGGAATGGAGCCGCTGAGTCCGTTGTGCGAGAGCTCCAGTGCCTCCAGTCCCAAGTTACCACCAATGGAGACGCTCCCAGTCAAGTTGTTCATGGACAGGTTGAGCGATCGCAGCGTGGAGCTAAGCTTTGGAACTCTAGCCACTCCCAAGAAGTTCCCACTGAGGTCCAAGCTTTCCATGCTCTCGAGGCTGGAGAGGTTTGCTGGGACCTCTCGCAGAGAATTGGAGCTCAAGTTGAGGAGCTTGAGCTGCGTGTTCTTGCAACCAGCCACCTCCAGCGAGAAGATGTTGTTTTGCGAGAGGTCCAAGCGAGCCAGCGATGGAAGCTCGTCCCAGATGGAAGGAAGAACTCCCAAGAGATTAAACCTGGACAGGGTGAGGGCTTCCACTCGGTTGTCCGAGCTCCACTCCACACCCCGCCATGCTCCTGGATTGGCGGTCTCCTTCCACACTTTGATGCCAAGCCTGTCCCCGAGAGAGAGCAGAGCCTGTGTGTCGTTGACGATCCCGGATGGATTCGTGGGGCACTGTGACCGAGATGTTGCGAGAAAGACGAGTAGAAACAAACCCAGCAGCAAATCCGTGAGAGACATGGCCGATACTTTATTCAAACCAACTTAATCTTTCATGTTCTAGTAATCCATTCATCCAGAGTGCAGTCGTCGATAAAAGACCAGGAAACTCCACAAGCTATCATCAAAGATGAACGCTCAGGAATATAGAATCTGGACTTGGAACTTCTTTTGATTCGGACCATGACCACCAGTTGGATGGACTGGACCGACTGATGTTCAAAGAAAACCAAGTCAACGAGAATCTAGAAAACAACATGCGCTGCATTTCCAAGCGCTTTGAAACATCAAAACTGGAAGAAACTTATCCTCGTTACGAATCATTTCATCTTTCGAGCGTATTAGTGCTTTCAAGCCGGGATTTGTCTAGATTTTCCAAGTCAAGCAGGCTGGAGTGAATCGCAGTATGGGACCAGCCAACTTGGATCAAGCGGTCATAGTTCAGCAGCGATCCCCGATGAGCTTCAAACATCTATGTGACACCAACCGGTCCTCCATCCATACATTTTAATTTTTTAGGCACTACATCAATTTTCAACTCAGTCATAATTTTCAGTCTTCCTAAGTCAAATTTTTATATGTTGTTACGTTCATACAATAAAATTAGCATATGTACTGAAAATATATTCGGGAAATGTGAAAAGAAGATAACTTATAACAAAGGCACAAAGTAACAAACAAAAGTCTAAAACTTTCAATTTTCAAAAGCTGGAAATATTGTCTAGTTGAAAAGTAATAGTTCAATTCAACTACCAAGAATCACCACATGAGCATTCTTCTTTCCTACCGTCAAATACATGAATAACACTTGTGTCTCTCACAATTATCCTTCTCCCTTCCAATTTTGCAATGGCCTTACAGACCCTGTGGCAGCCCTCACACATTCTCATATTGTTTACAATTCTGACGGTAGCATTTTTGCTTGTGCTGATCAAGGCAAAAACTACTGCCAATCTTTCACTGTGAGCTTCCGCATCGTCATCGTCTTCCTCAACCTTCGTAAGTTTCTTATGCTTACTCTTTATCCTTGCATGCAAGCTCTTCAATTTCACCAAGATATCTTCACTTCGAGGATGAGAAACAACATCCCCAACCACAAAACTATGTGTCTTATCAGCACCGTCGACCCAAAAGCTCTCCCCAGCCTTTTTCCAAGCCCCCGCCAACTTTCTCGTCCTCTCGACTTGCTCCTGCTTGTCCTCCATCCCCACAGTCCGATAGATCTGGGCCATCAACACATACGGGATCGAGTTCGTCGGGTCCAGCCCCACCAGGGCCTCAAACGCAACCTTCCCAAACTCCACACTTCCCCACTTGCGGCAGGCGCTCAACACGGCCGTCCACACCGCCACATCGGGCTCGTACGGCATCGCACGGACCATGTCCACGGCCTCCCCGATCAAACCGGCCCGGCCGAGAAGATCCACCATGCAACCATAATGTTCCAGCGTGGGGGTTATTCCGTACACCTTGGCCATTGTATGGAAGTAGGCCTTGCCCCTGGCAACCAATCCGCCCCGGCTGCAAGCTCGCAGCACACAGACAAGAGTGACTTTATCCACCCCGACATTCTCGTCCACCATCTTGTCGAAAACATCACAAGCCCGGGAGCTGTCTCCCTGCTGGGAGTAGGCCGACAGAAGCGCATTCCGTGCAGCCGTGTCTTTGACTGGCATCTCATTAAACGCCCTCTCCGCTTCCTCTATGTCTCCACACTTGGCGTAGAAGTTTATCACGCTGGTGGCTGCCAGGAACGGATCATGGCCGCCGCCGCCTTTTTGGAGCAGCTTCGCGCCACCTTGATCCTCCAGGATGATCGCCCGTCCGGCGTCGAGCGCCATTAAGTTGCCGCAGGCCATGAGCGCGGCCACCAGCGTGATGGAGTTTGCTTGGCAGCTTGATCTCGTCATCTGGCGATAGAGGTCAAGAGCCAACGCACTCTCGCCGTTCTCAGCGTATCCCAGGAGCATCGCATTCCAGGTTGCTACCGTGCGTGATCCGAGATCGATGCCATCAAACACTGCTCGAGCCTCTGAGGTGCTGCCGCAGCTCGAGTACATGTCGACCAGGGTGGTTTGCACGTAAATGTCGAGCAGTCTTTCCGGGTCCTGGAGAGCCTGCGAGTGGAAATCTTGTCCTAGCTTCAAGAACTTTGGCTTGTCAGCGGGATTCTTCTTGGCGCAGCGAGCGCAGGCAGCCAGTCCAGCAACCAGCGTCCGAGAGTCTGGTATCACACAACTCCGAACAAGCTCTAGAGCGGACTCGCTCTCTTCGTTGTCAACGTAGCCGAGCATGAGCGAGTTGACAGTCACTGTGTCCGGGCTCACCATCTGGTCGAAAACAGCCCGAGCTTCGGTCATGCTGCCGCACTTGGAGTACATGCTGACGAGCGTGCTCTCCACAAAACTGTTGATCAAGCCGCTCTTTCGAGCTCGAGCATGAAGCTCTCGACCTTTGTCCAGTATCTCCTTCGAACTTCCAGTGGCGGCAAGCTTCGCACACGCCATGAGTGCCGCCACCAAAACTTTGGCATCCACAACACAGCTCCTGTCCTCCTTCATCCTCTCAAACAGCTCCAAAGCCAGAAGATCTTCGCCATTCTCGACATAGCCGAGCATGAGAGCCGTCCACGAGACTGCGTTGCGCTCTTTCATCTCGTCAAAAACGTTGCGAGCTTGCGCCATGCTCCCACACTTTGCGTACATGTCCACCATCGTGCTCGCTACGTACAAGTCGGAGACAAAGCCACGCTTCGCCGCTGCGGCATGCAAAGCCATGCCCCTCTCCAAGCACCGCTTCTTGACAAGCTTGCCGAGGACCGGATCCTTTCCTTCCCGAGCAGCCAAGCCGGCACAGGCCTTGAGCGCGAAGACAAAGCTCCGCGCGTCCGGCTCGCAGTCCATGGCGTCAAAGAGCCGTAACGCAGCGTCACTGTCCCCGGCCGTGACGTATCCCAGGATCAACGAGTTCCAGGTGAAAACGTCGTGCTGCGGCATGCCGTCAAAGAGCTGCTGCGCGAGCGGCATGCTGCCACACCTCCCATACATGGCGATCAGGCTACACGCCATGAAAGGATTGGAGACGAGGCCACACTCGTCCGCCTGCCGGTGAAGCTCCTTCCCCGTGGATAAATGCGTGGAGCTTCGGCAGGATTTGAGGGCAGCGAGTACGCTGGCTGCTGTCACTCCAGATGCATCGCGTTTCTGCGAGGAGCATGGGAGTGTACTTACTGGTTGTGCGAGCTGGAGAGAAGAGCTTCCATGGTTGGTTTCGATCTCTCTCTTTTTGTATTGTGCTCTTCCAGATTGTCCCGCGGCCAGAGTTTTCAGCGAGGCGAGCTTGCTGTGGACCCATTCCGGGCACTCCCTGGCGTTGAGCCACAAGCACTCGCCGGTGGTGGAATGCTTGAAGTCTGGAAACTTGGGCCACTGTACAGACGAAGATCTAAGAAAAAGAAGAGGAAGATCACAAAAGTTCGTAGCATTCTTACGTTTTTAGCGCGATTGTCCCACCAAAGAGAAGGATCTGCGAAGAACTCGTGCCATGCCTGCTCTACTCGCTTTTCTATCGGGAGGAGCCGCTTAAAGACCATCTGACCGAATAGGGTTCTTTGTGTAAGTTTATATTGGTCATATATCAAAGGACAAAAGAAGAGTCTCATCTCAAACCAATGAATGGAGTCACTCGCTTGCATTGTCCACGCGATGAACCGTTGCCAGGATTATTTCCTTGGAATCAAATCGATAACATGGGAGCTTGCCTTGCGAGTTTGGAGAAGTAAAAACAAAAAGAATTTATTGCAGCTGCTGAAAGTGTCTCTTACTCTGCAGCGAGAGGAATGAGCTCCGAAAACACGGGGAAAATCAAAGGAGAACTTACCGGGCTTGTATAAGATTGTGGTCTCGGCGATCATCGAGGTAACGATGTATGGATCCATGTTGGAAGCTGGGCGCCTATCCTCGAAATATCCTGTGCCAGGAAAAAGGAGCACACAGTCAACAATCTCAGCCTGGATCCTGCAGATGGAATATTGACTGGAAAAAGAAAAAAAACAATGCGGAAAGTCTAGCAAATGCCTACTGCGTGATACGTACCTTTCCCATCTTTCTCAGTATCGCGACCAACGCGGACAGACGCGCCACGATTCGCAACGCCCTGGAGTAAAAGTTTTGAGCTTTGAATGGAACAAAAAAAAGAGAGAACTTTCGTACCCAGGAGAAGGAGTGAATGCTCGCTGTCTCGTGCCTGCCAGTGAGTCTTCTGTCGTTGCCTTCGCCGTAGGCCGAGATGTGCTCCTTGTGCCTCAGTCCAAGCTTCTCGATGGCACTCTTTATGACCTCGTAGCCTCCCTCTTCACGCATCGACTTGGTGCTGTTCATCGAAAGTCAAGCGTCGAGACAAAAGAATAACAAACAACGACGCATACCTGTAGTTCGTGTGGGCACCCGCCCCATTCCAATCTCCTTCGATTGGTTTCGGGTCAAATGAGAGGACCACCCCTGCAATCTCGGTGATCCTCTGAAAAAACAAAGACAGCGTTTGTTAACGATCTCCACAGGATTTTAAGTTTCACCTCGAGGATGTATCGTGCGGCCCAGAGTTGATCGCCGGCCGAGATCCCCTCGACGGGGCCAACCTGAAACTCCCACTGGCCAACACAACAAAACGAGCGATAAGAGCTTGAACGAGAAAAAACGAATGCTTCCGAAGCTCTTACTTGACCCGGCATGACTTCCCCGTTGATGCCGCTGATCTTGACTCCTGCGTATAGGCAAGCCTTGTAGTGAGCGTTCACAATGTCTCTGCCCCAGGCTTTGTCAGCACCAGTTCCACAGTAGTATGGTCCCTGAAGAAACAAAATATCAGTTGAGGCAAAGGAGGAGGAAATGGATTGATTGTGATCGCACCTGAGCTCCTGGATATCCGTTAATCGGCCAGCCCAAAGGCCACTTCACATCCTTCTGAAGGAGCGTGTATTCTTGCTCAATCCCGTACCTTCAAAATGGAGACGAAGTGGAAATCACAACAGACCTTTCAGCTGGAAGAGAAAACTTTACCATGTCTCCTCTTTTGCAACGTCCGGGTGGCTGAAGATCTTCGCAGCAGCAGCCCTCTTGTTCGAAGGGATTGGCTCGCCGGTCGGTGTGTAGGCATCGCAGATCACCTGACCAAGGAACCAGTGGATATAATCTCAGACAAGAGCAAAGAGAAAACTCACGAGGATGTTGTTGCCTCTCCTGAATGGATCATTGAATTTCGCCTGGGGACTGGAGACAAACAGAGTTTTAGAACTTATCCTCGAGAGCAAACGAGCAAAACGTACTAGAGAATGACTTCACTGTCCTCCCCAGGAGCCTGGCCCGTGCTGGAGCCATCGAAATTCCACTTTGGGATCTGCTTTAGATCTTCCACCTTTGGGACATCCAAGGTCTGGAGGAGAAGAAGCACAGTGAGCAAGCTCACACAACAAGAAGATCCACCAATGCCGGCTGCCGGCCGCTCACCCTGGCTTTGCTCCGGAGATCCATCCCCGATCCGCCGATCCTGCCAACAAAATCCAAGAATCTCAGCAAGAACGAGAGCACGGGGAGCTGGCATTGTCCGAGCGACGCACCATATGTACTCCGCGATCACCTTCTTGCTGCCCGAGATGTCAAGATCGACGAGATCCGTGAGACGCGACATGGTCGATCGCTCCCCACGAAAACCTAGAAATACCGAGAGAGAGAGAGAGAGAGAGAGAGAGAAAAGGGAGCTCTTTAGCTCCTCCAAGGAATGAAAAGCTATGGAGGGAGGGCAAGCATAAATAGGACCGTCACATGACGCGTACGGCAGCCATGGTTCCGTACGAGTTTGTACGCTAACGTTTGCGCCAGTTTGCGATGCTGGCCAGGCACGAGATAAGTCCCATCTTACAATTCGCAAGCCGTACAGGTGTGGCCACCACCGGCCTACGTACGAAACAGCTTTTATGCGGCGCCCCTTCGAAAGCTCCGTGACAATAGCTACAATACAATGAATCTATGTGACGACCAGGAGAAAAGTTTATATTCTTCCACTTCGATTCGAGAAGATTCCACTCCACCTAGTAGATTATCCAAAAGCTACCACACTCAAGCTAACAAATTACCGTATATTTTATAGTACAGACCACTGTGAGCGTGCTCAAGCTCAAACATGCCGCAATGCAGCTAGCCTTTGCTCCAGATCGTCCACTCCGGAGCTAAACAACAGCAAAAAGGAAAAAAAGGTGAGTTTTTCCCTTCGTTTTCTTTCGAGAAGAGAGTCGAGAGAACGAGAATTACCTTCCTAAAGTTTGAGATCTCGTTTTGCTGGCTTTTCCCCTGGGAGCCGACGATAGCTGTGCTGCGATGTCCACTCCAATCTCGTCGAGTACCTGGTCGGTTTGTGAGAAAGAGTGGGGGAACGAAGCTCAAGTGATTTGTGTACCTGGTTTGTGAGCTCGTCGGTCTCCTCCTCGGCATCGTCATTGTCTAGTGCATCGTCGATGGAATCCGACATCATCTCGGTCTGGGAAAGCGATGGAAGAATAAAAGAAAGAATTTTAACCGCTCGCTATGCAGCATCAAAGAAAACAGGAAATGTACCGTCATGTCCATTTTCGCGGACTGCCGCTGGAACTCTTGCATTACTTTAGCTTGCTTCGAAGGCTCCATTTTCTGCGAGATGAAAGAAAGCAACTTAGCAAAGCTGGAAGCCATAGCCGAAAGCAAGAAAAACTAGAAACTCTGGACGACACGAAAAGGAAGAAGAACTAAACTTAAAATTCTCAGAGGAGGAAGAAGTATCTATCTGACCGACCTTATTCATGGCTTCCATGGCTTTATTAGCTCCTTTCATTGCTCCACCAACAGCAGTATTCGCGTACATAGCCTGGAACAAGCAATCAATCCATCAACAGTCGGTGGCTCAAAACTTAGACATCTTGAATCTTCTGTTCTTTCTCAGCTGCTAACCTGAGTGTGTGTGGCAACACCCCGCATTTGTGCCCGGCTTCCCTGAAGCTTTGCTATTTGCTGCCGAAGCCTGATAAGTTGCCTGGCAAGGATTTTCACTGCTGCCTGCTCGATCCCATTACACAAACACACATTAAAACTTCTTCCAGAGAACTGTAAGAGCAAGTACCTCATTTCCACTCTTGGCAGTCTTCTTAATCTCGGCCACAAGCTTCTTCTCCTGGACAAATTCAAGGCTCAAATCCACCGTGAACAAGGGAAAAAGCCATTGTTTCCTGGCCAAAGTTTCATACCTCGAGCTGCAGGCTCCCAATCTCTCGCTCAATCCCTGGATTTCCCAATGTCAGCGACATCCGGACAAGGAAAACCCCAAATACCTCGTGTCGCCACCGCCATCTCCCGCTTGCTCGTCCGCAACGCATCTGAAATCCAGAGGCTAGGTCAGAGAAGAGCGCGTGGGAACGAGAAAACAATGTGGCTCCACCTTTGGCAGTGGTCTTCTTCTTGAAAAACTTGAGCATCTTCGACGAGGATCTCTAGAAACCCTAAATCCCAACCCTTTGCTGGCACAAAGTTACCGTTGATAGCCAATCTCAGCCGTCAAACGCCCCCACTAAGATTCTGTACAGATCAACGCCATCGATGTAGTCAAACAAGCTATCGATTAATTTTGCCAAAGATTTGCTTCAAAATGCAAGAATATAACATTTTTGTTTAATAGAAAAGAAGAATAAGAGCTAGAATAGCTAGATAGCTAAGCAGCAAAGCCTACTTACATTAGATCTTTTTAATAATCTGAACCACGTCTTCATCGTCTAGCTCGTGCTCCTGGAACAAAGGCAGAGGTTTTCTAAACGATCGAGGCGCAAAAACAAAGAAGAACATCTAACATACCTTTCCTACACGTTGCGGCTTGTGTTTCGCACTAGATCCCCAGACTAACGCGCTGGAAGACGCAGACAAGCGCGTTTTAATCAGCTCCAAAGATTTCAGAGATGTGCGTGGATACTTACTACTTGAATTGTTTGAGCATGTCCTTGTGGATTCTCAGGCAAAAGTCCTCCACGGTGCGCTTCTTCGCTGAAAGTATAACCGGATCCTCGTAGTCCGGACTCATGGCCTTCGGTTTCGTGTACACTCTCACCAAGTCCAAGTACTCCCAGACTTTTTCCAAGAGTCCATCCAAGTTCCACTCCAGATGTGCACTATGGAAACAGGAAAACTTTAGAGCCGGCGACATTTTTGCAAGAAAACCGAGCTCACCTCACTGGACAGTAATGCGGCAGCTTATCCAGAATCTCGAGCTCTTCCAACGTGACCTGATCAATCTTGTTGACGGCATAGACGCAGGGTATGTACATGCGATTCCCTTCAATGACGTCGATCAGATCATCTGCAGTGGCATCGTATCTCAGCGACACGTCCGCGTTGTGTATCCTGTATTCCCCGCAGATTGCCTTCACCGTTTCCAGGTCCAGGAGCGTGTTTGAAACAGTAGATGTGAAGTTTATGCCTCCTTTGTCTTTCCTCCTGAACGTAAGATTTGGTGGTTCTTTATTGAGCCTGAAAACGAACACAGACATTCTTAGGCAATGAAGAGAGAGAGAATCAAGAAAGCAAAGCAAGCTTGCCTTATTCCAAATCCTTCGAGCTCTTTCTCGATGAGCCTCTTGTGTGTAATGGGCTTGATTGCGTCCAGAACTATGATGATGCAGTTGCAAGTTCTTGCGGTACTGATAACCTGCCAGGACAAAGACATTTGAATAGCTCTTCATAGCAATATTCTCAAAAAATTCACCTTACCTGGCGACCTCGTCCTTTTCCATCTTTTGCACCTTCGATGATACCAGGGAGATCAAGAAGCTGGAAAGAAAAGATTAGAGTTACACATAACGTTTTTAAGTTTGGCCAAGAAACAAACTATCCACACCTGGATCTTTGCTCCCCGGTACTTGATCACACCAGGAATGCAAGTAAGAGTTGTGAATTCGTAAGAAGCAACCTACAAGAAAAAACACACAAGAAAGCTCAGCGAGAAAGACAAGTAAAAGAAAACTAGCAAAGCGAGAAGTACCTCAGAGAAAGTTCCCGTTAGCTTGTTCAAGAGTGTCGACTTCCCGACGGAAGGAAATCCAACGAGTCCCACACGCGAATCTCCACTCTTGGTCACGTCGAATCCCTCTCCAGCTCCACCGCCTCCTTTGGAAGTCGGGGCCAAAATCTCCCTTCTCAGTTTCGCGAGCTTTGCCTACACGCCCGGATCATCACATTGGAACTGTGTATAGCGCATTTACCTTGAGCAGTCCCAGATGGTGCGCTGTGGCCTTGTTCTTTTGAGTCCTCGCCATCTACGCAAACAAGAAACCATCGATCGGGCGACCAATGCAGCCGAGAAAGCGCACCTCATCTTCGATGTCCTTGATCTTCTGCATCACGGTCGCCATGGCGCCCGCCTCTCCTCGCTCGTTCCTCTCGCGCAAATATTTAGGGTTCTTCCAGACCTATCGTTACTTAACCAGCATTTAAAAAAAATTCGTTTTCCTTCCATCAAAACTTTGTAACAAGAGTCACGAGCCTGTGTCCATTGGATAGCATCCCAAAACACGCATGAATGGAGCAATCTCCTGAGAGAAAACAAGAGAAACGGGAACTTTAGCTTGGATCGAGTGAACTCGATACGAACCTGTAAGTGGCCGAGAGCGTTTTGTGCTCTTGGGTCCGCCATAGATGCTTGAAAGTCTATGTAAAACAAGTAGTCGAAGTACCTGATGGAAGAGAAAAGCATGTAAGACATGGAAAAGAGTTTGTTTCTCAGTACAGACTTGGCTACTCCGGTGTTGCTATCGTCCACAATCCTCAGTGGTTTCTTCCGCTGCGGTCTGCTCTCTATCTGCAGAGACAATGTAAACGAAGAGAAAAGATAAGCAAAAGATGTACCTTGGTAAGATTTATATCTCGCAGCGCAAACACTGCAAGCGCCTTAAACAGGACACCCGGCCCCTCTTCAAGTGTAAACACAACACTTGTCTTACACAACGAAACAATTGGATAAGATTGTTAAAAATCCAACGCTGGCTACCTTGAACGGACGATCATTCCTTGGAATGACAGGATCCCTTGCCAGCATTAAGAAACGAGTGATGTTATCGGAGTCATCCTGTTTTGGTTTTGAGACGATTAAAACGAAAAAACCCGAATGAAAATTCTACCTGTATGCCTTCGGCTAAAACGTCAAGCCCGTATATCTGAGCTGCTCGGGCACTGGCAACTGCCCCTGCATCTCTCAAGTTATTTTGCGAGACATACTGGAGCACGGAAGCATAGAAAGTAAGAAACAATACTCCAAATAAAAAGGATGCCTTGCCTGGGCTGCTCCGGCCGTGTCGTCGACTGCCTCGCGTGTAACTCCCAGCTTAGACAGTGTCTGCTCACACTGCGCTAGAGCCTGAAGAAAAACCTCAAGACCAAAATAAACAACGCTAGAGAAGTACAACTAACTTGAGAGTGACTAAGGACGCGCTTCAGCTCCTCTGTCTTGACGCCGGGAAGGCCCAAGAGGCAATGGTTAACTGGGAACTGCACTTCACCCACAATATGTAGCCGGTGGCGTAGCAGAAGGTCGTAGTTACGATGAATGCTTCCTCCTAGCGAGTTCTCAATCGGTAGCACCGCCCTGTCCACCAGCCAGAGTTCCACAGCCTACCTCCAAAGTTTAGAGCCATACAACACTAAGAACAATGCAAACCTGGAATGCACTGTCGAACTGCTCGCAAGGGACGGCTTCGCAATTCGGATAAGCCTTACAAGCGGCAGCTTCACTGTAGGCACCAGGCACGCCCTGCAAGCCGAGCCAAGTGATTGAGGACAAGAAAAACGAAAAAGACTACCTGATAAGCAACTCGTAACTTGGACCCTTGTCCAGGCGATGTCAAGCTTGTCACAGAAAGAGGCCCTGGAACAGCACAAAGAGTTCGGATAGGAATGTAGCAAAAGGTCACTCACTTGGCAGCGTATCCAGCTCAAATCTGGGCTCCATGTCGGGCTTGGAGTCCTGTTGCTGACTAACACAGGCTCCCCGGACGAGCTGACGCTGGCCCGAGACGCAACGGTAATTCTCTTGCCTGCGAGCTTCCATGGAGACCCAACAAGGCCATGCAGAGGAAGAACAAGACGAGGAAGACGATACTATTTGAGATGGGCCACAGTGAGTAATAATACCCTTTGGATGGAGGGCAATGGCCATGAGCAAAATATTCCTACACGAATCAAAATAGTCAAGACAGCAGAGACAAAGAGAAGTCTCTTACCTCGCATCAAATAGTTTCTTCGCCGATCCTCGCGCGCATCGAATGATGCATCTGTTCCAACCGGGAGTTAGAAGGAGAACGATGGTGGAAGAGGTGTGTCTTACCAGCGCTCTCCCTCCCAGCGACCAAGAACCCTAATTCTTCATCTTGCGAGCATTAGATATGGGGCTGCGTTCGTCGGATCCAGCTTCCTGGCCGCCTCGGCCGCCCGCGCCGGATCGCAATGGATCTTGGAAGATCCCAGCAGGCTCGTCCAGGTAGCGTCGTTGGGAGAATGAGGCATCCCCCTGAGCAGTTCCTCCGCGTCGCCGAGCTTCCCTGCCCGCCCCAGCGCGTCCAACACGCAGTGGTAGTGCTCCACGCCCGGAATCACGCCGAAATCCACGATCATCGAGCACAGGCAGCGCTTGGCGCCCTGGACGAGGCCGATGTAGCTGCACGCCGCCAGCGCGCCGATGAAGCTCACGCCATCCGGCGCCAATCCCTCGGCACACATCTCGCGGAGGATTTCCAGCGCCTCGCGGAGATTCCCGTTCTGGGCAAACGCTTGAATGACCCCATTCCAGGACACCGCATTGGGACATGGCATTCGATCAAGAACCATCCTGGCCGTTGCCAGGCCGCCGTTGATGGCCTCGCCGTGGATCAGAGCCGTCCACGCCACCACGTCGCGCTCGCAGTCCATCCTCCAGAAGGCCCTCCTCGCGTCCTCCAGATGCCCGCTCCCGGCATAAGCCGCGACCATGGCCGTCCACGTCACCACGTCCTTCTCCGCCGTCCGATCGAAGAGCCAGCCGGCCAGCTCCACATCGGACGACGCCGCGGCGATCATCGCGTTCCACGAGACCGAGTTCCACTCGGGCATGGCGTCCAGGAGCCCTAGCGCGTGATCGAGGTTTCCAGCCATGGCGTGCGCGGACACCATGGCGCTCATCGATGCGAGGTTCTTGGCCGGCATTCTCGCGAAGATCTCTTCCGCGCGGGCGATTTGCCCCGCGCAGGTGTACGCACCCAGGATCGCGTTCCAGGAGAGGGAATCGTGCTCGGGCATGGCGTCGAAGATCAATCGCGCTTGCTCGACCGCTCCATCCGACGCTTGCGCCTGGAGGATCGTGTTCCAGGAGACGATGTCGCGCTGCGGCATTTTCTTGAAGATCTTGGCGGCCTCGTGAAGATTTCCGGCCTGGGCAAGCGCCGCAATTGCCAGATTCCAGGAGACTGTGTCGCGGGCGGGCATCTTGTAGAAGATCGACATCGCGGTGCGGTGGTTGCCGCTGTGGCTGAATCCGGAGATCATTGTGTTCCAGGAAATCAAGCTCGTCAGTGGCATTCGTGAGAAGAGCTCTAGCGCTAGATCCAGATGCCCGGCTTGGGCATATGCTCCAAGCATGCAATTCCAGGAAACTAGATCTGGATGTGGGATCTGATCAAACACTTTCCTTGCCCTCTCGATCTGGCCGCGCTGGGAAATCGCAGTGAGAATCGTGTTCCAGGAGATTATGTTGATTTCTGGCATGGAATCAAACGTTCTTTTGGCGCTATCAAGGTCTCCGTCCTGGGCAAACGCTTGGATCATCGCGGTTCTTGAGACGATATCCGGGGCCGGGGATCGATTGAAGAGATCAATCGCTTGCTCGAGATCTCCGGCAGTGACGCACGCCTGGATCATCACATTCCAAGACACCGCGTCCCGATCGGCCATGGCATCGAAAAACTCTCTGGCGCGATCGAAATCCCCGCCGGTGGAGTACGCCCGGAGCATCGTGTTGCTCGACACTAGATCCCTCCTGGGCATCGCCAAGAACAGCGACTCTGCCTCTTGGATCTCCCCCCGATCGGCGTAGGCCTTGATCAGGGAATTCCCGGCCACGGCATCTTGCTGCGGCATCTGGTGGAAGAGATCGCGCGCGCGCTGGAGCTGGCCATTGCGGATCAGGGCCGCGATCATGAGATTCCAGCTGAAGGAGTTCTTGGCAGCGGTGGCGGAGAAGAGCGCCGCCGCCTCCTCCACGGCGCCGCAGCGGCCATACATCTCGACGAGGAGATTGGCGAGGAAGACATTGGAGTAGAGAGCGCCATCGCGGAGGATCCGAGCGTGGAGCTCGCGGCCCAGCGAGAGATCCCTAGCATGGCCGCAGTGCCTGATCGAGTCGGGCAAGCTTGGCGGCGGCGGCATTTCCGGATGGGATTCGAACCATGGCGTCCTTTAGCCCTTGGAGAGGAGATTTTTAGGGTTTATAGCTTTAGGGCAGAGAGGATGAGATGAGAGACGATGGAGCTCGGCAGCGTCGTGGAGCTCAGCTCGTCGGATGAGAATGACGATTTTCTCCTGCCGATGAAGCGCACTGCTATCGCTCCCGATGACGATGACGACGACGATGTGATTATTATCGAGAAGTCGCAGTGCACGGCGGCAACCCGGCGCTCCTCCTCCAGGCGGCCTCCGCGGAAGATCGAGGCGCTGGTCGAGGATGATTTCGAGTGCTGTATCGTGGCTAGCGCTTCCAACTCCAGGCTATTCCAGGCGGTGGATGTGGATGGGGACGAATTGGTGGTCACTGGAGAAACTGGACCGGTAAGTTCACGATGATCTAGAGTTTTTCTTCGCTGTTCTTGTGTTCTTGTTTTTTCACCGATTGTTTTGTTCTAAAGGAAGGAATGGGCTTTGTAGGTGGCATGCAGGGATTTTCCTCACGCTCGACATCTTTGCGTGCGTTTTCCTTTCAGTGCTACGCCACACATAGACTTCTGTGAACAAGTAAGTGCCGGATTAAACTTTCTTCCTGGACGAACTCGACACTTATAGATCATCAATCCATTTTTCTTTTTTCTTTTTTTTTTTCTTCTTTGTTCTAGTGCCACTGCTTTGTTTGCGACACATTAGCACCCTGTGCTTACTGGTCGACTCACTGCGACGCTTCCGACAAGGAAGCTCAGTGGCTGACGATGCGAAAATCGAATAAGACGCCCGAGTTGGCTCTCTTACCGCCGGTTGCGAAGATCCAGAGACCAAGACCACCTCAAGCAACTCATGCAAGAAGACTAACAGCAGCGCCACTTCCTCGGCCAACAGTAGTAGCAGCAACAGTGACACGACCACCGCCACCACCTTTAGTACCGCCGCAGTTTCCACCATTCGCCTCAAGCCTGGCGAAGCCGCCGGCAGTGGGAACAGCGACCATGTCCGACTATGCTCTGGGCCTCGCGAAGCGAGTTCCCAAAGTCAGGTACTACACAACGTCAGGCTCAACGAGCAGTGTGACTAGAAATCTAGGTGGGGTGAGAGGCGTCCGTCCTCCAGCTCCGACGGTGACAGGGAAGAATGCTCCTTCTAGACAGCCGCCAGGAAGCGCTACCGGCAGTGTTAGACAATTCAGAACAGCGGCGTCCGTGATGGAACAACAGCAAAGTGGTGCTCAGCACTTATCACCAACAAGACCGACAAATGGTGGTGTGGTTAGAGCCGACTTAGCATCAACAGCGGCTACAGCAACAGCAACAGCAACAGCAAGAAAAGCAACGGCGTCATCGCTATCACCAGGGGCACCGACAGCAGGACCGACATTAGGAGGATGGACAGTATCCGCAGCACCGCCATCGATTATGACGGAAGGAGCAGCAGTGGACAAGAACAGTGGTGCTTTAAGGCCGGACGCGAGCGCGAGCTCCATCCGGCTGGTGAAGAGGACGGCGAGGCCCACCGCTCAGGCCACCGTCCAGAAGGCACGGACGCAGCAAACGAAGAAGCGATCTTCCGGCAAAGTGGCGGTCGCCCCTGTGCCGGGTACTACGAGCGCTCCAGCGCAAGTCCTTCCAGCCGCTCACCCGCCGACGGTATCGCCGTGCCCGAGCCTCCATAACTTGGTTGGCGGAAGTGGATCCCAGTGCGGGGATTTGGAGAGGATGAGCAGTGGTGGCTTTGGCGGTGGTGGTGGCGGTGGCGGTGGCGGTGGCGGTGGTGGCGACGAGTACCTTCTCGCCCTGGAAGCTCTTTTCGAGTTAAACCAGCCGTGATTCGTAGTCGTCATGAATCTTGCTAGTATCGGGCCGCGTGTAAATTTTCACGTGACGCGGAGGTACAAAAATCTCGCTTTTTCTTTCGTGAAAGAAGATTTTGTTCCTTTCTTGCAGCTATAAACTGGACTGGACAAGCGAAAGTGCGCGCAATCACGTGTCCGCCACGCCAGCTCGTGGATGACGTGGCATTGGGAAGTGGTGCTGACGTGTGCCCTAGACTTTTTCAAGGGCTTTCCTTTCTTTTTAAAGGGGAGCTGCTAGGCAGTTTGGGAACCAGATTCGACACATGTCTGATATGCTAGGCTTTTCTTTTACGGCAGAAATTAAAAACTAGCTTTTTCCAACCTTTTCCGGGTATACTAGTATTTTTTTTTTTGTGCTTGTGTGCCATTGGCTACCTATATATACCTGTTGATCCTGTTGGTCGGTGAGTTTCCTGTTAAGATTCGTCTATATCGAGCGAGCTATGGCGAAACAAAAGGAAAGCTCGAGAGAAGTTTTTAGCTGCTGGCTTCCACGGTCGTCTGGACGCTGCGGATGCACGCCTTGCCGTCGAGCTTGGCGTAGAAGCGCTTCTTATAGTCGGAGAAGGTAAACTCCTTGTAGAGTGGAGGGTGGCTCTCGTCCAGCAGCTCCTCCACCGGCGACACCACCGTGTTGAAGGACGGGTTGTAGAAGAGCGCGATGGAAAGCCTGGGGCACTCCGAGTTGAGCACCACCCGGTGCTCGACGCTCTTGTACTTCCCGTTGCTCAAAACCTGCCCAAGGGGGATAAAAAAGATAAAGAATGACATGAGTGCGAGCCAAAGAATAAAACCAGATCTCTCTTTTTTGCACTTCTGTCCCTGTATCTTATGCTTGATTCTCTCGGACACAGGGAAGGACTTGAAAATCATTTTACCTGTAGCTGGTCTCCCACGTTTACAACGAAGGCACCGGGGAGTGGCTTGACAGGAATCCATTGACCGTCGTTGAGCACTTGGAGGCCCGAGGTTGCGTCCTGGAGCAGAATTGTGATCCCTCCCACGTCGGAATGGCTGCTCAGGCCGAGAGCCAGCGCCGGGTCGGGACAAGGCGGATAGTAATTGAGCAGGAGGAAGCGCTCGTTTGGTGTGCCGAATGCCGCGTCCAGGAACTCGGGAGAGAGGCCGAGGCTTTCCGAGAGAGCCCGCAATAGTGACTTGCAGAGAGAGCCCACTGCCTCGCTGTAGTTAACTGCAGTTTCCCTGGATGTGCAGACAGAAACAGAGTAAGCCTTGGAGCTTTTGTAGAAATGGAGAGAAGCAAAACGGAGGAAAGTGTGGGTGGAGTGAGTGGCTTGCCTGTAGGAGGGAGGATTCGCCGGCCACGACGAGACGTTTTCTTCCGAGAGAGGATTGCAGGAGTGGCGGAGGTAGTCGCGCCAGTCGAAGGTTTTGTCCTCGTAAGGATTGAAGCTCGTCCCGTACATTGTCATCTTGGAAGACATGCTGGTGGCGTGATACGCCATCTTCTCCTCCACCGGCAATTCAAAGAACTCATAGGCCACTTCTTTCATCTTCTCCGTCGTCGCCACCGGGACTCCGTGATTTGTCACCTGAGAAACAGACAAAAGGTGATTTTGGAGGAAGAGTTAGATCGGCGGACTGAAAACAACACATGTATATCCTAGCTGGAAGAAACATACAAAACTTTAGATCGCAGACAGCAAGAAAAAACAAGCCTTGGAAGAAAGATCCAAACCTGGAAAAATCCCCACTTTTGGCAGGCTTGTCCGATAGCCGCGATGGCCTTGGGCCTGTTGCCACTGTTGCTGAGTTCCCGGAGGTCGATCACTGGAATGTCTTGTGTGTCGGGGCAAACTTTGGACTTGCACAAGCGCTGGTGCTCGGGCTGGATATAAATATCCGGGACGATATCCATACCACCATCCACCAGCACCTTAACACCTCTCAGATATGGACGCTTGTGCTCTACTGTACTGCTCGCGCTCAAAACTCCCATGGCTAGCCTCTTTTACCCTTAACCCTCAACTTCACACACTCATGCAAGGCTTTGCTCGAACTGCATTTCTGCTTTATAGGCAGGAGAGGCAGGACAAGTCAAAGTATCAGGCCGTATGTCATGTACAGGGAGACGTAAAATAAGCGTATAGATATCACTAGAACGTAGAAAACACATAAAAGGAAGAAACTAAATGCATTTGGTAAGAAAGAGAGCGGGCTTACACTGACATGTTGATATCCCCTCTCCTTCTCGCCGCAGAAAAGCTATCTTGCGTGGTCTTCTGTGAGCCAGTAGTACACAATCCTGAAAAAAATACAGAGAGAGAGAGGGAGAGAGGGAGGGGAGAGAGAGAGAGAGAGAGAGAGAGGGAGGGAGGGGATTAGTTTAATTCTTCGAGGCAAGAGAAGAGTGATCTACTTAAAACTCCACTTTCTGTAATCAGCTGTCAGCTCCTCCGGAATCCATGAGATCACCGCTGAGGCAGTGCATGACCCCACCCTGTGAGATCATCCTTGAAAGACCATCCGCTCGCTCTACACCGTCCAATTGTCTTTCTGGAAAACGAGCAGCGAGAGGATTGGTCTCTCCCGCGAAGAAAATGCGGCACATAGAAAAAGCCTCGACACTTGAATTTCAAAACCCGGAGAGCGTCCCACCTTTTCTCCATCGATGTAGAAAGGACTGCCTTGACAATGCCGTGCCAACCATCCTTAAAAACCCGAGACCCCCGAGCTCTCCATTCCAACTAAACTTCCAAAGCTTGCTTCTTCTTCCTTGTTGCTACTATGTCTTTTTCACCAGATCAGCCCCGCTGACAAACTGGGCAACCATGGATATGACTCGGATTGAAGCTCCCATCAATGGAGCATCAGAGAATGGAACTGCGGCCATGGAAGTGGCCTCCTCCTTCCTCCCGTCTCCTTCATCACCCTGTTTTTCTTCTCCGGCAAGTGGGTGTGACTGATAACGATGAAACACGAGGGAACTTAAAGACGAATCAGGCCATGGCAGTGTCATCAAGGGGGTGGTGAATGGTGGAGGGGAAGCAGCAGCAGTAATAGCAGGAAAAGTGGAAGGCGGATATTTTTCCGCACATTGTTGTAATTGTCATCCACAGCCACTTGCTCCATCCCTTTTCGAGCGGTGGTGGTGGTCTGCATGTCAACTTCATCTTCTGGGGATGCGCTCGTCATCTTCCGAGCAGCCGGAGCCAATCCGATTGATCCGACACTGTGGCCATTTGTCAGCTGACTGATAACCAAGCTTTGGTCGTTCAACTGCAAAAGAAAACAGAAAGCATGACACGAAAAACAACTTACCTACAGAATCGAAGAAAAAAGAACAAGAGACTTTTCTCGCAGGCCTTTGAAGTTAGCTTGCCATTCTCGGCAACGAGATTCTCCAGCACCGAAGCCGCTGCTGCTTGCTGGAGTTTTAAATCATCCACCACTGTAGGCTCCTCCTCACAAATGCCGTCCTGGATTGAAAGTCTTGATACACAGAATCCATCACATTTTTTATGCCAACCTGGGCGTGATCATTTCGATGAGCGCGAGCTTCCAGGTCCAGCAAGCGAGCAGCAACATTGTCTCTTTCCTGTATCAAACTATCCACGCGACCTTGCAAGAACTCAATCTTGCATGGCATCCGAGACATATAAAAGAGAGAAAGGACAAATAGACTCCATATCTTTGTGACGAGGCCTTGGATCTCTCCTCGAATGGCCTGCATTTCTTGCTGCCAACCATTCTACTAGCACACAGGTGTCGTCGATCCAGGCGCGCCTCCTGGATATTAGCTTGTTTGAGCTCATCAACGCCCGACAGATCGATCTCATGGCCTGGCTCCTTCTGCACCAGATCCTCGTTAGCATTGCCAGATTTGCCCCCCTGTCTCTCTTTCTTCCATGTATCTAGCTCTAGCATCGTTTAAATGGAAACATATACTATGTTCATTATGATATTAAATTTATTTACCTAGATAAACTAAATTATAAGCGCCTGGAATTAGTATTAGTTTCATTAGTATAGATCTTAATTATTTCTCTTCTATTTCTAAACAGGAAAGATGAATCTTCCACCACCGAAATCCAACAAGCATAAAAATTACAATATAATAGTTGAATATAATAATCCTCTAAACTCTAGCTAGTTGGCGAATGAAAATCTTTGTGGATTTCTCAGCTGGGTTGTATGATAGAGCAGATATTCTCTGCTTTCTTGTGCGGAACTTTACTGTAAATCCTTGAAATTAGGCATATATAAAAATCCTTTCACCACCGACCTCTGCGTTGCAGCAGCAGCAGATAAGCTCCACTCCCAAGGCTTCCACTCCACTGAAGGCCTTGCATTGTAGTGGAGAGTAGTGCGTGGCAATGTCTCTCAGCGTGGGGGAGCTGACACAGTCTTTCTTGGCTGCCTACAGATTGACACTTAGGCCGCGTTGTCATCGCCTTGAGCCATTGTCATGCTAGCTCTTTTCCAGCTAGTCTCTTAGCCATTTATCACTTTATGGCTGCATGGAAACTCTGTGCGCTTATCAGTACGAAGAACTTGACGAGCGAACCAGCCTTTTTCATGCGCCACGAGTGCCTGTTGAGTTCTTCTGGCCATGATGTACGGGTATGACTTCCTAGTGCTTGTGCACTTTCTCGCGATGCGTGATTCCAGGTAGCAAAGAGGGAGGAAAGATTAATCTATACGGGAGGAAGATCGCTGCAGCATTGCGGGGATAGATCCCTAGCGGGCAGCAGCTGCGGCTGGATTTTGCCATGAGCAGCGTCAGAGGAGGTATCAATAGTACTCTCACTTGGTGCTTTAATTCTATCCAATTTTCCCATTGTTGTACTTTGGAAAGCTCTAGCTGGTGTTGCTCTCTCCTTCTTCACCAAGGAAGCTCTAGATGATAACTAGAACAGCTATAGCCAAGCCAGCTCAAAAGAAATCGCCTACTAACATATTATTTATTATTATGTCATTTATCTAAATGTGATCTTTTTCTCATGTTATTTTTATTAACTTATGTTATTTTTTTGGGACTAACATTTCAGACATTGGTTTTGGTATAATAATTTGTTGAGGAACTTCATGAGCATTCTTTTGCACCATTTTTTAATACTTCCTCACTTAATATTTTTTAAATATATGTAATATTGCATTACTTATATCTAAATGTTTATTTTTTGTGAATTCTTAATTTTTATGAAGATTTTTCATTTCTGCTGGTTGGGGATGGCTTTTCCAGATTCATACTCTTGGATGACCTGAGGCTTCTCGTTGATTTATACATTATTAAAAAATAGTTTTATATATATATATATATATATATATATATATATATATATATATATATATATATATATATATATATATATATTGCTTATTATATCTGTTATTAAAAATTATGAATCACTCTGTGAGGTACAACACATGTACTTCGGGTGGAGGTTGTCCCAAAACATTGAATTATACTATAAGATATATGAATTTCAAATATATATGTGCTTCAATTGTTTAATGACTCACAAAAACATGTTTAGATATGGTTTTTTTTTTCAAGAATGTATGAATTCTTAATATGCCATAATCATACTAGCAGGATTGAGCTTTTTGAATCTTGCCCCAAATTCTCTAACAAGGAGGATAGATCTTTACACATTGCTAGGTGCAGCTCAAGAAGCTCAACCTCTCCACAAATTTCTTATTGAGTTTTGACTAGCAACTATATACTAGGCAAGATCATTGTTTAGAGGAGCTTGTTCGCCTCTCCAGCCACATCCTTCCATTAATTTTCTCCCTAACAGCATTGTGGCAACTGGATTTGAGCAGCAATCTTTTGTCCAGCCACATTCTTAGTGAGGCTTAATTGTTCAGAAGGTCAAGGATCTAGAGTGAGTGTGGGTGCTCACTCTAGATCCTTGACTTTGTAAACAATTCCCTCTTCAGTGAGATCCCAACCAGCATCGGTAATCTCTCCAACCTCACTGAGCTCTTGCTCGGCCTTAACACTACACTACTTAGGTCCTTGGTTGACAGTGTGCTATGGTAGTGTGGCAATCTCACAAAGCTTGACATCATTGGCAATTGGCTCACAAGTGAAATCCTGAGCTACCTTGCAGATCTCCCCAAGTTTATGATCTTAGACATCAGCATGAAGTTCTCTGTGGGATCCATCCTTGACAAACTGTGGCATGTGACATATGACTTGTATTATAATATTTATATGGGACATCCCACATTCATGAGTGCACAGGTGCACAGACACTTCATCCACATGTGCAGCAATGTCATGTCCTCTTTTTTGCGTGATTCAATTTTTATGGAAATGTAAAGCATTATAAAATCTTGTTGTGAGTGATTAGTGATTGATTTTTGTATGGTTTTCTTGGCTCCTCGAGATTTTGGGGTACTTAACACTGGAAATACAAACTGATTGTACAATTATGTTTAAATTGCTATATAATAATTTCATGTGCAATTCAAAAAAATAAATAAATTGTGCATGAGTTATACTATCAGATATTATTTATCATAGTTATGTCTTATTGAATGATGTTTGTATAATTTCTGTTTTGTTTTTTAAAAATTCTTTGGTACCTTACGATAGATTGAGAAATATCCTAGAATATATTCCTAATTAAAACTTTTGTTAATAGCCTTATAAAGTAATTGTCTTGGAATTTAAAATAGTAAAATTGGTCAGACGTGACGACCAACGAACCTTCCATTGAACTTTGGCAACCAGAAAAGACAAAATACACATTGATTTTGCTATTCAACATTGTAGGCTTGTACTTACTCGGCTTTCAAATTCTCCCTAGGAGTGCCACACGCGAAAAGCAACACCGTATTCCTTGGCATATATAATCCCACAAATCTCCCCAGCACCAATCCATTCCATCTCATTCATTCGATCAAAGCAATACAAGAGCTTGTGTGTCTATCGTAGCCATGGCTGTATCTAAATCCATAATCTTCGTGTTCTTCACATTCTTGGCCGTTTCCTTGGTTTCATCTGACCCAGATCCACTTCAAGACTTTTGCATTGGAGATCTAAGCGCCAGGCCGAGCATCAATGGCTTCCCATGCAGGAACGCGTCGCTCGTCACGGTGGACGACTTCATCTACAGCGGGCTCGTGAACTCCTCCAACACCACAAACATTGATCGCGCTGGCGCGACCTTTGGAACAGCACTGAGATTTCCGGGCCTCAACACTCTGGGACTCTCCATCGCCAGGCTCGATTTCCTTCCCGAGGGGATCATCCCTCCACACACCCATCCCAGAGCCTCGGAGATGGTGTACGTCGAGGAGGGGAGCGTCTACGCCGCCATTGTCACCGCGGACAACCGCTTGTTCGCTCGTGTGATGAGCAGGGGCGAGGTGATGGTGATCCCGCGCGGATTGATCCACTGGCAGATGAATGTCGGCCGGACGAACGCCAAGATCATCGCCACACTCAACTCCCAGTTCCCCGGAATCCAGTTTGTGGCGAGGTCCATGTTTGGGTCGCGGCCGGCGGTCCCTGACGAGGTGCTCGAGAAGACTTTCTTCTTGGACGCGGCTGCAATCGATCAAGTCCGATCCAACTTCTTGTGATCCAACATTTTCTTGTTCTTTGTTCCGATATTCTTTTCGAAAACAATAAGAGATTGATTTAGGGTTCCTGGCCAGGGAGCTTTATCGTCTAAGAAGCAAGCCTTAGGGCCAATCGGCCACAACTGCTACGCGGCTAACAACGAAGGTAGTAGAAGAAAATTTCTCTCATTTTTTAATTTCCAGAAGCGGCGGGGAGTCGCATACGGATCATTTTCTTCTGAATGATTGTTTCTGATTCTTTTTCTTCCATTTATTTTGTGAATTTTGGCAAGAAGATGCTGTTGACATGAACTGGGATGTTCGCCAGTGAGCCCCACGCACTTGGGTGGGAAATTTAGCAATCATGATGTGTGGTTTCTGGTCTACTTACGAAACCATCGCCTCTGGGTGATACTGGATTCGGCAAGAATTTGAAAATGTCCAGGATAACAACGTTTCTGGCATATCATTCTGCAACCCCAATGATTTGTGATTCCTTTTGTGACTTAATTCTTCCCTTTTGTCTATAAAAGTCCGTTGAAGAACTCGATTGAGAATCAGTGGAGCAAAGTGGATGCCACATTGTATCTATACTATAGACGGCGCCCTGGATAAGGTATGAAGCAAGTGTATCCTCAAACAAAGCTAATGTACTTATTAAATGTTTATGTTTTGATTACATCCAATTTTGCTAAGAGCTTCCTTCCAGGCTTGGAGACGTTTTATTACACCAGAAGTTCAAGGAACGATTTTCAAGCAGGCAAGTTCCACTGTGTGTCGGTAGTTTGCTATTTAATGAGCTTTTGCAATCACAGGAAACCATGCGTTCTCAAGTGGAATATCCGAACGCGTTGGGCAACGCGTGAGCGACATTTATGTTGAAGTAAGGCGACGAGATAGCATGTCTTCCAGGGTATCATCAGAAGAGGGAGCTATGGAAGGACTTCTCAAGGGACTTATCAACATTGGCATTGAAGCAGTGCAAGATTTTGCCGCTGGAAACCAAAATGCGGACAATTCGCAGTCAAACGATCCAGATTCGAGAAAGGAGGAAGAGGCGCAACCGAGATCCAGGTGGGATAAGCACCCTCATACCAAGCATCAGCAGGTGAGATTTATCTTTAGACTACATAGATCTAGCGAGTGCTCTTCTCTTCTTTTCGTTTCCAGGCACCAGATGAATACAAGCAAGCTTTCAAGAGGAATGCAAGCGATCAGGACTATTCCGAAGGTGTAGACTCTTCGTCTATAAACCTCGAACCAACGGACGAGGAACTTAGTGACTACCGCGTTGCTTGCAGCCGGCTTTGGGATCTCGACATCGACCGCCTTGTTCCTGGCCGTGACTACGAGATCGACTGCGGAGATGGGAAGAGAGTCTACAGCAAGGAGGATATGGCTTCCAACGAGCTCTTCAGATTTGTCAGCCAGGACGTTTTCAAAAGTCCAACTTACGCCAGGTTCTACGCGCTGCTGGACAACTATCACGCAGATCAGGATGTTGCAGAGGAGTTCTCGTCGAGGGAAGAGCAAGAACAGATAGCTTTCGTGGAAGAGATAAGCAGGACGGCTCCAATCCAGTACCTGTTCAAGTACCTGGTTGCAAGCCGGGCCATCCAGTCGGACAACTGGGAGGAGTTCAAGCGGATGCTCCAGCGGCTATGGTTCGATCTCTACAGGCGAGATAACACGAGAAACTCCTCTTCGGCGTTTGAGCACGTTTTTGTGGGAGAGATCAAAGACCGGGAGAACAACGATGAAGAAGTCTCCGGCCTCCACAACTGGATCCAGGTAGGCATTGTTCTTCTCAACTTCGTGACGGTCGTGATGGCTTTTTTTCCTCTCCTTGTAGTTCTACATTGAAGAAGCAAAGGGGAGCCTGGATTATCAAGGCTATATACTACCAAGGAGGCGCGGTGGTGACGAGGTAGAAAATGGTCCCAGAGTGTTCTTGTTTTAACAAACATCTCCACCTTTCTTTTTTTTGGAATTGTGCAGCCTGACTCGCATACCCGACTTGTCACAGTCCAGTTCACTTGGAATGGTGCTCGCAAGCCAGCGTCAAGCTCTTTCATTGGAGTGAGTCCCGAGTTTGAGCTAGCGCTCTATACTCTTTGCTTCTTCTGTGGTGACGAAGACAATCATTTGGTTCTGGGATCCTATGCTGTAAACGTGAAGTGCTACAGGTATGGAAGAAATCGAATTGGTTCAGTATTTCCTATAGCTGAGGAATGAAAAGTTTCGTTTCTAAGTTTCTTCACACTTTTCTTTTTCGCGAGAAAAGATCAATCTCTTATTGTTTTTGAAAAAAGAATAATTGAAAGAAATAATTATTGTTGGCTCGTACAAAGTTGGATCGGACTTGATCGATCGCAACCGCGTCCAAGAAGGAAGTCTTATCGAGCACCTCGTCAGGAACTGCCGGCCGCAACCCAAACATGGACCTCGCCGAGTTGAGAGTGGCGATGGTCTTGGCATTTGTCCAGCCGACATTTATCTGCCAGTGGATCAATCTGTGCAGGATCACCATCACCTCGCCCCTGTTCATCACCACTTCATCACACTAGCGAACAACGGTTGTCCGCGGTGACAATGGCGTCGTAGACGCTCCCCTCCTCGACGTACACCATCTCCGAGGCTCTGGGATGGGTGTGTGGAGCCTGGAGGGGATGATCCCCTCGGGAAGGAAATCGAGATGCAGAGTATTGAGGCCGGGATGTGCGAAAGGAAGATCGCGCCGGAGCGATCCATGTTTGTGGTGTTGGAGGAGTTCACGAGAGATGAAGTCGATGCTCGTGGCGAAGAATATAATTTTGGATACAGCCATATCGTTTGGCTACGATAGGGATAGAATTGATCACACAGGCTTTGATTGAATGAATGAGATGGAATGGAGTGGTGCTTGGGAGATTAGTTCTTTATACATACCAAGGAGTTTCGTAGAAGAGTTCAAAGTTAATTTTGTCTCTTCTTGGTTCTTTATACCTTAAAATAAATTGGTGTGTTCAACATTTATTTTATGAGTTAAAACATCTTAGTCAGCCAACATTTTTATTCGACAGAATCTATTGAAAATAAAATTTGTATGTTAAAATGCTTAAGACTATAAAAAAAAAGTTTGTGTTGCATGTTGATTTCACATGCGTATGAATGCAAAGCAACATAACTCTGGATGCTCACTTATTTTTCATTGGAGACAATGATCTTGCTGATAGATTTTAATTATCTTATATTCCCCGATAAGTAGTGTCATAGAAGTACCCATGAAAACAAGTTGGTAAAGCCACGTCAATTTATTTGTCATATTAGCATTTTATTTTTTGTTTTATAAATTTGATTTATCCACTGATAGCTAAACCAAATATTGTTCCAAAAGAGCACTAGCCATGAACCTCCACACACTGGCCACTGCTCACTACCAGCTATGCCAATACAGCAACACCATTGCCACATTAGAGCACTTAAATTACAGCTTTTGACATTGCCATGGCAATCAAGTTCTTCACAAAGAACAAAGGTTTGATTCAGAGGAGTAGAATCCTAAAGTAACAATAAGTGCTTGAAGAGATTATCAACATTTTGATAAAGATTGTGTGATCCTACTGCTAGGCAGTGTGCTTGATACAATTGAGCTAAAAACACAGTATAACCTTGAGCAGTAAAGTGTTGTGGCCATGATTGAGGCATTGACTCTTGGGAAGTTTAGGGAGGTGCTTGTCACTTTCAAGAGTGTGGTGATGAAAGTCAAGGTGGTGTTGCCTCTTGCCTATGTTTTGCACATTTTTGTATATGTCAAATTTCATGGATCGTGAATTGAATTGAATCATTCAAAGTAGATGACATGGTTTCATATATGTAAAAAGTGTTTGTCTTATTCAAATTTTATAATGCACCATTTTGATTAATATTATAGTAATCAATTCTGATTTTGTGCATAATATTTTATGTGCAATTGAAAACAAAAAAAAAGGAATCTGCACATATATAAATAAAAGATGCACCCATGTGCAATTACACATTTGTTGCCATACTTTAGTACTACTCTTGAAACTCCAAAAAGCACTTTTATAGATTTTATACATCAATATGAAATTAAAATGCTTTAGGGTATCATCTCATCTCTTTAAAAACTGTGATAGAAAAAATAATATAAAAGAACCTATATTACCTAGATATACACACAAATCCAACTGGCAATAAGAAAAGAATTTTTTTCAAACATTGTGTTCTTGTCATATCCTTGATTTACTTACTGGTGCTAAGGATCTCTATTACTTCATCTGCACTTATGTACTAAATATTCTTAGAATATCTCTAAATTCCATCTTTTATCTAATTCTTTTATAATCAAGGTTTAATGCTAAAAATTATGTTTATGTTTGTAAATCCAAATTGACTGATAGATGTGCTCAAATGATCTTGCACTCCTCCACCTTTAGCCAACATTGCTACAAATAGATTTAATCACTGCCATGTGAGGTAAATGTCATACTATGGATTAAAGCATTTTATTTGTAACAACTTTTCTTTGACTGCAAAGCTCAATAAGTCCAAGCTAGATAATTTGAAGCTAGATTATTTGATCTTGCTGAGATCAATAGAATGCACTGAGGTTTGAAATTTCTTGTTCTCCCTAATTGTTTACATACTTGTGCTTGAGTGTTCTACAATTAATAACAAATAAAAATTATTATAGCCTAGAATTATTTTTTCAAATAGGAATAGTTCATCTATTTAGAATACAAATAAATACTAGTGCAATATAATTTTAAAATAAATAATAAAAATAATTAACTACATATAATCTATCCTTTCAAACCATTCTAACTTATAAAAAAATTGTTATATCAAAATATCTATAGTATCCTTAATTCTAATGAAAAAGAGAAAATTAATTTCTTGTAGGAACACTTTAAAAAAGGCTTTTAAGGGTAATAAACATTAATATTGAAAAAAAAGTCGAACCAATTAAAAGTTTTTGGATATGAATTTTAAATAACAAAAATAAATTATATAACAAAACTTGCTAATCCTCTTAAATTATTTTCAGATAGAAAAAAATAATTAAAAAGGAGAAACAAAACCGAGTTTGAATGTGCATTCAGTTTGGAAGATCAAAGAAGATTAAATCAAGCAAACACGGATCGGACCTGAGTGATGGTAGTGTTGTCGATAAAAAAGGTCTTTTCTAGCACCTCGTCGGGCACTTGGGGGCTCGATCCAAACATGGACCTCCCTATAAATTGCGTCCCCGCGAGCTGAGAGTTGAGCGCAGCAATGACCTTGGCATTGTTCCTGCCGACATTCATCTGCCAGTGGATCAATCCACGCGGAATTACCATCACCTCGCCTCTGCTCAGCACCTGTGCAAACAAGCGGTTGTCCGCGGTGACAATGGCGGCGTATACGCTCCCCTCCTCGACGTACACCATCTCCGTGGCCCTGGGATGGGTGTGTGGCGCGATAATCCCCTCGGGTAGCAAGTCGAGCCTGGCCATGGAGAGGCCAAGGGTGTTGATCCCGGGGAACCTCAGCACGGTTCCAAACACTGCGCCCGCGCGATTCATGGCGGTGATGTTGGCCGGATTCACCATTTCCCTGTAGATGAAGTCCTCCACCGTGACGCTGGACGCGTTCCTGCATGGGAAGCCATTGACGCCCGGTGATGCGGTGAGATCCGCGACGCAAAAGTCTTGGAGTGGATCTGGGTCGGAGACCACTGCGCTGGCCAAGAATGCGATGATCATGGTGCTCAGAAGCAGGATTGACGAAGCGGGCGCCATGGCCATGGATCTAAAACTCGAGCTCCCTGGAACGAGGATTCTCAAAGCAAGCTCGATAAGCTCTGGAACAATTGGGACGAGATCAAATGATATGAGGATGGATGAATGAAATTGGAAGAATGAATGAAAATTGTGGTGAGAAGGATAGGCTTTTATACTGAGCAATTGGGATGCTACCATACAACACGCAAGGGAGAAATTCAGTGAAGTGAGCCTACATTTTTGTTTTATCTTGTGTAGCAATTTTGAGGAGAACTCTTCTCCTCTGACCATATCACTGTCAAATTTAACTGCATGGAGTCCACACTCTTCAATGACTTTGACATGGTCTTATACACTGTGTTTGTTTATGTTTGGTCGTTGTTGTCTAATCTCCCTATACAATAGTTAAGATCTGAAATATCTTTTCTAATCAATCTTGTTTTCTTTAATGCCAGAACATCAAACAATATAGTCATCTTTGCCAGCACCATTTCCTCCTCCTTTGGAATCTCCTCACCTGGTACGCGTAGCCAAGCACGCCAAACACAATCGCGGCCACGAAGATGAATCTCAGCACCTTTCTCCTGCTGAGCCCCACGCCTAGAAATCCCAACAGCGGCCTCCCCGGGAGATAGGATCGCAACCGGCTTAGGTGGGAGGAGCGGGAAGGATGAGGCGACTTGGATCTTCGCCTCGGCCTCCCTCTCTACAAGTTTCTTTCGTTATGCAAACAATGTGTCGAGGTTTTCTCTTCTTACCCTTTTCCTCTCGGGAGCTGGCTTGGGTGGCGTCTCGGTGGCGACTTGGACATGCCGGTGGCCTCCTCCGAGCTCTGCGTGTTTTTGCAGAGCCATGCCCAGATAGTACTCCTTGAGCTGGTTCTGCAAGTTAGACATGGCAATGGGGGATCATACATCGATTGAATCTCAATGCTTGACGAAAGAGGAAGGATTTGAAAGCTTGGAGTGGATTCTAGGAAAAAGAAGAGGAGGACAAGAGCGAGGGAGAGATTTACGCTACCTTTGGAGGCAATTCCACCTTGTGTTGCTGGAGCCATCGAATCAAGTCCGTCTTCTTCATGCTCATGAGGCGCTTCTCGGTCACGGCCGACGGAGAGGTGAGCTTCTCCTCCCCAGCGGATCGATTTGGAACAATCCTCATCGCCCTTCGCTTTTTTTTCCCCTCTTCCCGGGAAAAAGAAAATCAAACAGTTACGAAAGTTAGCCTCGCACCACAAGAGTCTCGAACCCAAATCCAGTTTCAAAAAGAAAAAAAATAAAATTTGGCAGAGCACAAAAATTTGGTTCAGTCAGGAAGATCGTGAAGATGGTCACTGGATGATCGTGATCGCTATGCTGGATAGTTCTCGGCGGAGGTAACCAGGGGGCAAAACATGTTGAGAGAGTCGCAGCCCAGGACGTCCTTGTACTCCCTGTGGATCCAAAACTGGTCATAGACTTCGCCATCGCGGCTCTTCTTGTACTCGAACAGCAGCGACGAGCGATTGAACGAGGTGAGCTTGGTGTAGCCAAAGTCGCAGTCCTGATTCAAGCTCCACGATGGCTTGCTCTCCGGGAACTGGCTCAGCCAAAACCCGCCGCCTCCCGCAACTACGTGAATGGTCCCGTTGAAAGTCCCGGAGTAGAAATCTTTCTCGTCACTGGCAAGAACTTGCTGCACGATGGAGAAGCGCCAAGTATGAGAGAAGATCCAGCTATGGACAAAAACACGAAAGCACTCACGTTATAGAGTGGATAGGTGCGCTCGTAGTTGTGGATGTGGCCGTAGAAGGCGAGGTCCACCTTGTGCTTTTGCCACAGCTTCTCCAAGCTGTCCCTGCCGAATGGCTCGCCGGTGGTGTTCTCGGGAGCGTAGCACGACGAGTAGCCGAGGACGCGGTGAGAGATGAATACCAGCCACGGCTGCTTCTGCCTGTCCGCGCTCCGGAAGCAATTCTCGAGGAACTCGTACTGCTCCGTGCCGTCGCGCCAGTCGTGCTCCGAGTCGGCGATGCAGAAGCGGAAGAGACCATAGTCGGTTTTATACCTTGCAAGGAAAAAAAAAAACAACAAAACTGTGAATCAGCTAGCTTTCTCTCGACTTTAGAACTACAAACCAGAATTTGTCCCTGTTTTGCACGGGCATGTTGAACACGGTTGATGAAACAACACCACACTCGCCTCCCGAGTCGGTGCTGTTGTAGAAAGAGCCAGTGTTTGGCCAATCTCGCTCATGGTTTCCACTGATTTGAGCAAACTTTAGATCGACAAAAGAGAAAGAAGAATGTAAAATACCTGACTGTCATGTAAGGAACTTTGGAAGACAAATTCTCAATCTGCTCCGTGAACTGATCCCACTCGGAGAGATATCCAGTTGCGTAGGATATGTCGCCAATGTGGAAGACAATGTCGATGTCGTTTATTTCGTTGTTAAGTGCGTCAGTTGTGTTCAAAGACCCCGGCTCAAAATCGAAGTACGTTCTCGATCCATCTCGCTGGTGCTGTTGAATTCGCACAAGTTGGTTTTGTAAGGATTTTTTTACAAAAAAAAAAGGAAGAAAGAGAAAACAAAAAACTTGTACCGTGCCCATATCACCGAATATCACAACTCGTTGCAAGGATTCTTGGCCAGGAAATGGGGGTGAATGAAAGTACATCTTTGGGCTCATGACAAACGAGGCATCCTGCAGCCTGTGACCAACTTGGAAGCTATACCTGCAGCGAAAAAAGAAAACACAAGAATGTTAAACTCGATGCATGTGATAAACTTACCTTGTGGTTGGCCATAAGTCCGTCATAATCCCAGTATGGATCTGCCCAGGGTCTCGCCATCCGATTGTGGATGCCGGAGCTCCTTCAAAACAACTGTTGGTTAAAAACAAAAAAAGAACTCCATAGCTAAACCAACATACCACACATATCTCCACGACTCACTGACAGCGTGGTGGCCGGATGAGCAACAAAGGAATACTTGTCATCGTACACCTGCCATGTTATAAATGGAGCTGCCTCGCTGGGAAGGTAATTGCTCGTCCAAGTCACAGTCATCTGTGAGATCCTAGAGCTTCTTTGTTTGATATAACAGGATCAAGCGATGACAATTTACCTCGTTCCAAGCCCTTCCCTGAGCTAGCCTCGGGTACAAAGGCATCTTCAAGTCGTCAAAGGTGACCACGTTAGACACGGCGATCAGCACCGGCTGCTCAGTCGGAGGAGTTACAGATGTTAGATAGAGAGCTGCGATCATCTTACCTCCGCAAAGCCGGAGAACAAACCAAAAGAAAAGTTTGCGCGCTGGTTGATGAGACGGAACGTGAGCTGTCCACTGCCGCTGCTCACGTAGTCTTGCGACTGGTTTGCGTACTGAAACTGAAAGGACAAAACCGAAAGGTATTACGTCTAATGAGTGACACCAAGAAGTAGTAGTACCTTGATGGGAGCGCTGCAGATGTAAGGTCCCCAAGCGGGTATTCTTGTCTTGACCACGCAGACGGAGGAGCTGCGAGCGATCAAAACCAAAGTAGAAGAAAACTCTTTTCAGTGTGAAGATCATACTTGAATACTGGTGGTGAGAAGACACCGATCCAGTCCTGGTCGCTCGCTCCAGAGGCCCTCTGGAATTGCACAAGGACGTTTCCAGCATGTTCTTTCTGAGGGACAGTAAAAGGAAGAATCAGTGTCCGTGAAACCACAAATTTTGCTACCTCCTTGCCAAGCACATCGGGAGAAGCTCGCACAGACGAAGAGTTGTCAATGTTTATCACGGCGCGATCAATCGGCAGTCTCGAAGGCAAAGAATGCTGCTGCGAGAGCAACACCAAGGAGCAAAAGTTAACAACAATGAAGAATATGATTTTCATTGTCGCGCAATTCCTACTGCAGCAATGCCCTGATATATATTTACGATGAAATGCCTTAGAATGCATATTTCCTGTCTAGATTAGAAAATGCGCTTTCTTCTAATAATAACTCGTAAGAAACCTGTTTGTAGATTTTCCAACGCTTGAAACACTAGCTCTTACGAGCCACTTTTGCAATTCTGAGAAATAAAAACGGTTACCAGGCAATTGACCCAGCAAAACACAAACCATTACAAGTTTTGCGCTCCGAGAAAACGATGCTAGCTAGCAAGAAAAAAGAAAAGCAAAGAAACAGAACCAATCCAGAAACAACGAGGGAAACCTTAGGTACATTTCTACGGATATGAGGCATCACCCTGTTTTCTAGCAGAGACCGCTATGCCCGTGTTGTCGACTTTTCTCGATTGTGTCAGCTCCAAAGGTCGAGGATCGCTTCCGGAGGTCTACGGCTGCGTGAGAGGTGAGCTCGCAGACGAAGCCACAAGCGAACTAAGAACGAAGACAACCAGCGCGCAAGAAGCGCATTCAAGCTGCAGAACCTTGCGTTTCGTGAGATCCCAGAAAACACGAAGAAACTTACAAACACTGGATGGACAATTCGGGTACGAGCTCTCGCCTAGTTGATCATGAGCACGTAAAACGCGAGGTCCACCCTGTGCCATTTGCCAGAGCTTCTCACGAGAAAGGAGAAAAAAAGAAAGAATCCAAAGCAGTGCTAACCAACAAGCAAATAGTAGGCTTTGCTAGATGCTAGACAACAAAACGTAAGGCGACGTAGTACCTGGTCCCAAGCGCACGGCATTCTGTGCGATGCTAGCGGCGAGCTCCTTGTTGCCATGGATCCGGCACGCTCCCAGCAATCCCACCCAGTCGTGGAGATCCGGCTCCAAAGGCATGCTCTCCATCAAATCCCTGGCATCCGCCAGGTACCCGGCGCGGCCGAGCACTCCGATCACGCATCCATACTGCTGCTTCTTGGGCCTCCAGCCGTGATCCACGCTCATCGCGCGCAAGCATCGCACAGCCGATTGGAGATTCCCGCCGTGGGCGTGCGCCGCCAGCACGCACGCGAACGTCGTCTCGTCCGCCCCGGCGCCCGCCATCGCCATTCCCAGGAAATAGGGCGCAAGAAGCTCCACGCTGGAAGAATGTGCCGCCAGCATGGCGTTCCACGAGACCACGTTCCGCGCTGGCATCGCGTGGAACGTCCGCGTGGCGGACGCCAGGTGCCCGTTTCGGGCATATGCGCACAGCATGGCATTCCACGCCACCATTTCTCTTCCTGGCATTGAGTGGAACAACGCCACCGCGCTTCCCAGGTCGCTGTTTTGGGAAAACCCAGTCAGCATGGCTGTCCATGCGACAACGTCCACGTCAGGCATTGCGTGGAAGAGTTCCACGGCCTTGTCAAGATGCCCTGTCCCGGCATATGCTGCGAGCATCATTGTCCACGCGACGCGATCGCGCGGTCCGGGAATCTTCTCAAAGAGGTCTTGGGCTTGGGCGATTTGGGATGCCTGGATCATCGCGGAAAGCACCGTGGTCCACGACGCGAGATCTTTGCTGGGCATTTTAGAGAACAATCTCTTCGCCTCTTGAAATTTCCCTTCTTGGGCACTTGCCGCTAGGAGCGCATTCCAGGAGAAAAGATTGTGGGCTTTCATTCGATCAAAGAGAGATTTCGTTTCTTCGATCCCCCGCACCGCCGCCGCCGCCGCCGTGAGCATTGCATTAAACGAGATCATGTTGTGACAGGGCATCGCGTCCTCGAAGAACTCCCTGGCGCGATCGTAGCCCCCATTTTGAGCAATCGCCGAGAGCATCGCGTTCCATGACACAATGTCCCTCTCCTCCATGGAATCAAAGAGCCTCTGCGCGTCATCCAGGCGCTCTTCCTGCGCGATTGCCGAGAGGAGCGAGTTCCACAAGATGAGATCGCGCTGGGGGGCGGATTCGAACACCCGCCTGGCCTCGTCCACATGCCCACTGGCGGCGATCACTGCCGTCCACGTGCCAAGATCCCGCTCGGGCATCCGCTCAAAGAGCTCGCGCGCTCGCTCGGCAGTCCCACGGCGTGCGTACGCATTGAGCAGCGTGTTGTAGGTAATTAGGTTTCGCGCATTCATTCCACGGAAGAGGGCGAGCTCGTGATCGATCCACCCGGCCTCGCCCAGCGCTCCGAGCATGACGTTGCCCGTCACGAGATTTCTCTCGGGCATGGCGTCAAAGAGCGCGATTGCGGATTTGAGGCGGTCGTTCTGCGCTAGCGCCGAGAGCATCGAGTTCCAGGATACGAGATCTTGCAGCGGCATAGCGGTAAAGATTCTCACGGATTCGTGCAAATGCCTGTTATCGGCATATGCAGCTAGCATTGCGTTCCAGGTCGCGATGTCCCTGTGAAGCATAAGATTAAATATATCTCTTGCTTCCTTCACGTTTCCATATCTCCCAAGAACTGCGATGATTGCTGTGCTAGAGAAAGAGTCCGTGAAAGGCATCTGGAAATATATTCTTATTGCCCCGTCAAGATCCCCTATTCGGGTATATGCCGCAAGCATAGTGGTCAGTGAAATGATTCCCTGTTCGGGCATAGCATCAAACACCATTTTCGCATCATCCATTCTTGCAAACTTGAGAAACGCGGTGAGAATGCTAGTCCAAGAGACAAGATCACGGTCTGGCATGGAATCAAACACCAGCTTGGCCTCGCGAATATACCCGTTTCCGGCATATGCCGAGAGCATCAAGTTCCACGAGAAGATGTCCTTGGCGTCAATGGCATCAAACACGCGCCGAGCGTGATCGATGCCGCCGCACCTTCCATACATTTGGATGAGGAGGTTAGAAACAAAGACGCTTGGGGGCGAGTCCGCAAGAGAGCAATGTAGTTTCTTCGCATCCGCTAGAGTTTTACATGACTTAATATTTGAGATCAAAGTGCTCATATTCTAACATGGTAGGAATGTCCAAAGTGTTCATATTCTAACATGGCTTTGCTTATGACTTTCAGCGAAAAGAAAAGAATTAGATGTTACCTCAAGTCGACTATATCGAATCTTAAGCTGGGATTCATGTAGACATGGGAACAGTGATCGTATATGGAGCCTCCGTTGGCCGGCTCGTCGTGTGGATGAAATCCTCGTTGGTCGCACTGCTGGATAGCTTCCATGCCGCCAGGCTCGGACAGCCGAAAAATGCCGAAGGACCTGGACGCGAAGGAAGGTAAGAAACAGGTAGAAAAAACGAGAGGAAAACCAAGACCTTTCTTCGTCGGTGGGAGCCATGACGATCGCAATTGCCTCCTGCAGCATTACCTGCGCAAAAGAGCTTGCGATGAGCAGCCCGAAAACGCGAGTGTCTAGTACCTGGTAGGAGTAGTGCGTGTGAAGATCTATTGACGACATAAAACACGTTTGCGTTGGATGCGTCTGCGAAATGAAACATGGTTACAATCGTACATTCTAATCTCTGGCGCACTTACGTGTATCCATCCAAGCTGGAATAGATTCCGTTTGTCTTGAACTTCGAATAGTTCCTCCTCGTTGACCGTTTGGCACTGCCAAGAAAAGCTCTAAACGAGTAGCCACAAAATCGTGAAGGCATACCGAATCTGACGTCGCTTCCTGCTTCGGGATAATCAGAGTTGTCACAGAGAACATACCCTTTTCCTGTAAAGTTACGGGTTCAAGTTAGCCACCACAAAGAAAAATTGGAGATCTTACAAGAAAACCGGCCAGGACTCCGCAGGTTTCCAAATTCTTTTGCGTATTGTGACGAGCTAGTGCAAGGAACTCCTCCATCATAGTTGGAGACTGCAAATATATGGTTTAGTCCCCACACTAAAAATGAAAAAGTAAAAAGAATACTCACAACGTATAAGTGCTTTGGTCCCTTTTCATTGGAAACCTTGGGAGACCCTGGTCTTGGATCAGCCACTGTAGTGGGCGGCAAGCATTGAACGTTTTGTACAGGAACCGGAACGGGAGGAGGAGCGAGCTGATTAACAAGACTGTACTGAGGTGGTAAGGCTGTTGGTTCTGACGAAGACACAGAGAAGGAGTTCTGGTCAAAACTTTGCAAAAAGAATGAAAAAATATCAGTATACAAGAACGGTGCCGACCGAAAGCTACAGACCTTGGGATCTCGATATGCGATACATCAATATAGCTTGGATACGTCACCTTGTAGAAACAGATAAGAATGATTCAGCGTCGTGACCTCGAATTTACTAAATGCTTACTTTGATAGGTTGCTCCATCGGTTTCCTGCTCGGCAACGTAAAATAAGAATGTCTAGAGAGTGTCTCATCTCTTGGCCTCGCAGTTCTGAAAATTCAAAGCTTGGAAGATCGTCCCTACATTAGCTTAGCTTACCCTTGCCATGTGTTTTGCCAGTTAGTCTGGGGACTGGTTTGCCATCTATTCTTTGCAGGATTGGGATCGTACTTATTGTACTCAAGAGACGCATTTCTCTGCACATAAAGTTCGTAGACAAATCAAACTCTCAGAACTACGCACAGTCGTACCTTCACCGGGAAAGGAGCTTCCAAAGCTTTCTTGACAAGAGGCTTCAAGCTTTCCAGCTCGGCCAGCGCTTCCAAAACCCTCTGCAAAGAAAAAAGAAATCAACTTCGCATAGAGTCGCCTCAACAAAAAAGCAAAGCAGCAGCAGGAGCTGCAAGACGCAATCGCTCAGTACCTGCCGGAGAAGAGCCTTCTGTGAATCCGAAAAGCGCTTGTACTCATTGTGAGCTGGGATCGTGTCGATCACCAAGCTGAAACCAATGACATCTGGAGTATGCGTAAAGCGAGCCTTTAAAAAGAATCAAGAGGAGGCGCAAACCTTGTGAATCTCAGCAGGAGGATGTAGAGCTCGAGCACATTCTTCTCGCTCCTATAGATTCTCGCCTAGAAAGAACCAAATCCAATCGATCCCTTACTGCCCGATTAGACGAACCCTACCAGCATACCTGGCGCAGCAGATTATCGGCGATCCTGTAGTAGTGCCGCAGCGGCAGGCGCTGATTCACCTCCAGCTTGGGCGCGCTCTCCGCGATATTCATCGCTCTCCCCCCTCAAACCTTAGGGCTACCCTGTTCTTTTTGCCCTTGATAGACCGTTGACCAAAAGCGTGGACCGTTGACGTTGACCTCCTCGTTGACCGTGTTCTGTCTTTGTTTTTTTGTGTGTGTATGTGTGTGTGTGTGTGCCTTCTGCCACACAAGTCCTCGAAGCGTGTGTTTGGCTATGGTGTGGACCTGAGCTCCACCACCACTGCTGCGCCACTGCCACCACCTCCACCAACGCATGACATCAACCATCCAACCACAGCCCTCAAGCCAAGGGATAGCACAGATCCAAATCCAACCATGGAGGTAAGAATTCTTTTAGGAAATTTTTTTTGGGGGAATCTCTCCTCCAGTCTTCGTCTTGCCTTGCCTAGAGCAGAGTGATTTCATGGGCAAAAGTTTGAATTTGATTCCATAAAAGAATAATACTTGAAAATATGGAATAACTTTTGCTGTTGAGATTCAAGAGAGGTGGCTGGTTTCTAGCCTTCCACAAGCGGCCAAGCGACTTGACATCTTCGAATTTCAATCAGGTTGCAAACAAGTACCTTGTCTCAGTGGAGAGGCGTGGTGGCCTGCGATTTCATCCATCTCTTCAGTTAAGCTACTATATGATCAAGAAGATTTCAATATTAGTTTGGACTTGGCTATCACCTCTCGCACTCCCCACCTTTTCTCTTCTGGTAGTTGGGAGAAGCAGGAGAGATTTTTCGATTTTGAGATTCATCACCCATCTTTTGAGCTGGTTTTGCTTGTCTCCTTATAACAACATGCTGTCAAAGGCGTACTGGCAGCTTATGTATATTTTAAAATCCATTTGACGCGTAGATTTTATATACACGTATATATAATTGATATATATAGTATCTCTGTACCCAAGCAGCAGCAGCAGCAGCACGATGCTACACACAAAAGCCTCGATACATTTCATCGGCATAGGATGCCAAAAGAGAATTTTTCTAAAAGGAGAGCCAGCGCTGGCTGGCGGAGCAGCGAAGATTGCAATGTCTTTTGATCTCTTATCCGGAGATAGAAGAGGATCAAAGAGATCCTCCGCTATATACTTGGCCTGACGCAGCTTGGCTGGCCCAATTTTTACCTGGACCCATATTCTCCCTCCTAACTATCACATATGATGCACCGAAAATATATTATACAATATATAGCCAGACAAAACCATATGATTTGCTTTGCGATTGCTCTGTCTTAAGCTTTGCATGCACGCACAAATGCCAAAGGCTAGACTCCAAACTCTGGATGCCTCAGTTGTTATCACAACTTACAACTTGTGCCATGCGTTTTCCTCTCTGGAGGGCGATGGAGCTATACAGACAAGCATGACGTGACCAAGGGACGCAAGGTGTGTGCGTCTTGTGTTCTTGTTCTTAATCCCGAAGAAAGTGACACCCTGCTGATTAACTGCCTCCTGATCCACACGCTGATCCCACGCTGGTGGTGTCTGGCCCCTGTGGGGATCCCTGGTGTTTCTGGGATCTCTGATTCCTGTTGATCTCTCGCTCTCTCCGCCAGTCTCTCTTTGGCCTCCTCCTCGCTGATCATAACTTTTGTTTCAGCTGTGCCCAGTCTGCAGCGGGGGCGGTGGTGGTGCTGGTGTTTGTTGTTAACAGCCTGCCAAGATCGCATTAACTCGAGGAGATCGTTGTTTGCATCTCGGCTCTCACAGCTCCATGCCGCTGTCCGGGGCCATCGCGGCCGTCGAGCATCCGACGCCCAGAATGGCCTCCGGCCCCTGCGTGTAGCCCTGTCCGCCTCACGAGAAAAAGCTGCAGCGCTTGCATATAATACATGTAGCACCTGATCAAAGCTGGAAGTAAATGAAAACCGAGTGGCCATGCTCTATAGTGTGGAATATTTGCAGGCAAGCGTACCGCACGGTGAAGTCGCGAAGTAAATAGGCTCTTGATCGTGATTGATTTGCTCTTTTCTACCAGCTAGAATGTACATCAACTCTCTCCATAATCAAACAAAAGAAAGGGGATTCTTTTTTTTTTCCTTCTCTCTTTCACCTCGACGACGCCATGGGCTGCAAGCTCTTGGACAAGCCCGCGATTCGCATGGTCGCGCAGCCCAGGCAGCCCAGCAGGCCCTGCTTGTATGGGAGGAAGGTTTTGCGGCGCATCTCCTCGGAATTTACCCGCTGCTGGGACTTGTAGTGGAGCTCGTGGAGGGATATGCCTCCGCCACCTTGCGCCGCCGCCGCCGCCGACGACGACGAGGAGGAAACGTTGGTGGTGCCGCCGAGGATGTTGCCGCTGCTGCTGCTGTTGATGCTGTTGTTGCGGCTCCGCCGGGGGCTGACGTTCCGGGACGAGCATGCACTGGACGCTGCCGAGTTTGAGTAGTAGAACTGATCGCCGCCACCTTTGCTGTGGAGATTGAGATCGGTGAATCTCGCGGATTGGAAGTCCATACCACCACCGCCAAGTTTGCCACCCACGATCGGCCCACTGTGAAACATTGATCCCCCGCGACCGCCACCTTGCCCTCCTCGCCGGTGCGCTACGTGATAGTTGAGCCGCTTGTTCTTGATCGTCGCGTCCGGCAGCCGGCCCTTGTGCGGCCTTGCGGCCATGGCGGGGAACTCCGCCTCGGGGACGATGGATCCGCTGTGCAATCGCCTCGCGGAGCTGTAGTAGCCGCCGGTGGATCCTCCACTGTGCTGGAGGTCGAGGCTGTGGAGTCTCTTCTTGTGGATGGCGATTCCCTGGAGATTCCCCGATGCCGAGGACGAGGACGGCGTCTTCCGTGCGGCGCTCGCGGCGGTGAATCGCTTGCTGTGATCGCCCACCAAGGATTTCTCCACCAGCCTCTTGGTGAGAGCCGAGGAGTCGAGCTTCTTGCCGAGGGGCTTGCTCGGAGGAACCGGCAAAGATGGCGGAGGTGGTGGCGGAGTCGAATCCTTGGCCTCCTTGGACTCCTTCGCTGTGGATTCTGCGCCTTGGATGGTTTTCTTGCCCTCCTCTGCCTTGGAAGAGCTCGGCCCCGGCTTGTTCTTCTTGTGCATGCTACTCAGGTGGAGCAATTCCCTCAGCGTCCGACCTTTGGAGGAAGTTCTCGCGGGCCGGGGGATCTGGTGATCGCCGGAGGAGGACGAAGAGGAATTGGAGGTGGCGAGCGATGGCGAGGAGGAATTGGAGGAGGCGGGCCGGCCCATCATGAGCATCATGGACTGGTACTTCTTGAGCAGCTGGAGCGGCGAGAGGGACCGCGGGGGTCCCCGGCTGGCCGTGGAGTCCGACGTGGCGGAGGCCGAGATGGAGGAGGAGTCCGAGATGGAGCCCGACTTGATCATGGTGGCGCCGCACAGGCTGCCCATCACCGCGGATTTCATCCGCCCGGGCGACGCGGATCCGCCGGCCTTGCGCGCGGATCTGGGCGACGGCGGCGCCGCGGCGGAGGAGGAGGAGCAGTGGTCGCTGGAATCCGTGGAGGCGATGGTGTTGGAGGAGCCGCTCGAGTCCGAGGAGGTGAGCTGGGGCGGCGGGATCTTCATGGGCAGGAGCTGGCCCTTGAAGAAGAGCTCGTCGGCGGAGGACATCTGGGCGGAGATCGTGGAGTCGGAGTCGGACATCCGGCTGGACGAGAACTCGAAATCCGAGTCGGCATTGAAGAACCCTAGCGCTGGCGATGGATCCCGCGACGCCGCCGCATTGGCTCCAAAGATCATCTTGGGCGTGCCCGGCATCTCGTCCCAGATCCCGCCGCCCTTGCCCGACCGATCCTTGTTCCGCCGGTCCGGGCTCGTGGGCGCGCTGAAGTAGAAGCCCGCCACGCCCCCCATCTCCGCGTCCTCCATCATCGCCTCCTCCTCCTCCTCTTCCTCGCGGCGGCGCTCTCCGACAAGAACACTGGGCAGCGCCGCCACCACGCCGCCGCCGGATCCGCCACCGCCGCCGCCGCCGCCGCCGCCATCGAATCGCGAGTGGAACTGGAACTCACATTCCGTGAAGCTGAATCCGCGCTGGTGGTGGTGCTCCGGATTGGCGGCAGCGTGGAGCTTGTGATCGCGCGGCGGGCTGGACGGCGCCGAGAAGTAGTAGTAGAGGCTGTTCTTGCTCGTTGTCCCGGTGTTCTTGGCGGTGGTGATCTTGAGCGCGCTGGTGGTGCCACTCCTGCTGGGGCTGGATGGCGCGCTCACGAATGGAGTGGAGCAAGAGCTCCCGGCCTCGCTCTCGCAGTGATAGAACATGATGATCGCCTCCCTCGCCTGCGATGATCCCAGCTCCAGCTAGAATCATACACGGGACCACCAAGACAAGAAGAAGAGGAGAGAACAAAGGAGAAATCGATGGAGTGCCAGTGACGTGCAGCAAACCAGATCTCCGCGACAAAGGACGATCACCCCCGACAAGCAATTAAGCCGCCAAGCAAGAGCGCCCCTTCGCCGCGAAGTTGTGTTCCTCGCATCTCTCTCGCGTAGGCGTATGGAGGAGATCGTTCTTCTTTTTCTTGCTTCTCGCTCTTATACGGTACGTGATACTTGATACATTGCCTGTCTTTCTACCTGTGCTGCCTGCCTGTCTTTACTACGCTATACCCTCTCGGATCCACATAGAAAGCTAGAAAGAAAGAGATATACCAGCGCTACTACTACTCTACTATAACTCTACGGCCTTTGGACCCACAAATACAGAGGGGATAGACAGATAAGAGTTAAAAGAGATTGCCAGACAGAAGCTTCTCCTTCCTCCTTTATCACTCCGGATGATATAATCTCTCCCGTGGTGGTCGACGAGTTCTTTGTCAAGATCTCTAGACGAGTTCTTCGTCTAGATCTCCCGTCGTCTCTATAGCTGTGGAGGGATCAAACTACAAACATCGACACTGCCAAGAGCTCTGGAGCAATGCCGCTGGACGTTTGCGGATGGATGGATCAATCTCTCGGCCTAGATCTACGAAACTTCAGCGGTGAATCGAGCATGGAAACGAAGATTCAAATGAGAAGATCCGAGAGAGAAGAAGAATCCAGCACCAAGAACGCGCATTGATTCAAATAGACCACTCCCGACTCGCGCGACCACTCTAGGCCTACTCTCGAGATATCATCAAATGGATGGATGGAATGGAGGAATTCGTGAGCTCTACACAATACTCCCACCGTACCTAGGGTCTTTTGTTCTCTCGTCGTCGTCGTCGTCATCATCATCAGCCACTATGATCCCGTACTCATGGCCGAATATGCCTGGTACCCCATGGTGGCATATTCCGGCATGGATCACCACTATAATCAATTCGCCAAGGGAATGAATGTTCCTTTCAAATCAAAGCTGCAGAGCATTGCAGTTCCTCCAATTTGCAAAAATTGTTTGCAAGCAACCAAGCAAACAAAGCTTGGTTTAATTTTTCTTTTTTTGCCCAGTTTTTTGGGCAGAAGACTTTTTTTTTTTTGGTTACTGCTTGTTTGTCATTCCTCATGTGAGGAGCATTGAATTTGATTGATATTTCAGGAGTTAATAACAATATTCTAGACATGAGGCCACCACCTTGGAAGTGAAATTCCTTGGCCCTGTGATTATCCGATTAGAGTAAGCATGGGGGCCTGCGTTTGCGCATGTGGGCAGCACTAGAAAGTTTGGTGCACATATTAAACTCGTAAAGGTGGCACACAACATCTGAGCATGTGCAAACTTACATCAATATACATTGCCGAGAAAAAATCCCGCCGTGCATATGAGCTATCAAATCAGATACCATGGACTTTGGCTTGTTTACTATAGAATTTGTTTGATGAGTGGGGCAATGATCAAAACTCCACCCCGAGCGAGCGGCCAATACTTCTCTCTCTCTCTCTCTCTCTTTTTTCTGTAACTTGATTCGTGGTTCTCGCCGGTTGGGTTCTCAAGGAGATGCTAGTTCTTTGCTAGTTCTTGTAAGTTGTAAACATCGAGAGCAAATAGACTGATTGGATGGATTGGATTGATCGGCTCCTGTAACGGCTAAGTTAAAAGAGTCGTGGATCTTACCATTTGGTCTTGAAAAACGATTTGAATGGTTTGACATCCAGTTCAACTCCATGATCTTGATTGACAACTAAACTCCCACGATTTCGATGGATGTGCCGTGCCTCCCTCCTTGTTAAAAGTCTTTGTATTAGATTACCACTTCCAACGCAGTGCTTTGATATGAATTCCCAAACAATATGGTCGTCGTGGCTCATTGAAATCTCATCCGGGTTCATTCAAATCATGTTGTTGTGGCGGTGTGAATGAATTCCCTTCAGTGCCTGTCAAGGAAGAAAAAAGAATCCTATGTGAGAGAGAGAGAGAGAGAGTAAATGGCTATGTGATAGTTACTTTGGGACGAACGAGTCCAGTTATTTGAAGTTGTTATGTCCTGTGTTTCAAGCATCTGGAGAAGAACATGGTGATTTAAAACAGCTGCGAAATATAAACGAGCCATTTTACCTTCTTGCAGAGAGCGCCAAAGCGAGGGAATTATCGGTTCTTCCGAAACTTGAAAGCAATATAGAAATAACTGTCAGGAGTAATAAGTTTCGAAGTCAGAAACATGGAATCGAATCAAAAACTAAGAGCAATGAATGACTGAAATTTTTTACCTCCAGACGAAGTGCTATGGCTGGTCACAGGCGATAAAAAGAAAAGAAACTCCATCACCTGTCAAGCGTACTAAAACGTCAGGACCGAGAAACAAACTAACGAAAACCAGATTACCTCACCAATAGTCTTTGCAAGAGCATGAACCGTTCTCGAAGTGATGAAAGCGAGTGGAGTCCCTGACCACGATTTTCCGGCCCACGATCCTGGAGATAAACTTGGCGGCCGCGTGACAGTCGACGCAAGCTCGCAAGTTCTTGACGATGTGGAGCGGCGTCCCAGGCGGTGTGGATATCAAGCCGTAAGCAATCGCCAGCTTCTCGCTGTGGTAGCACAGCATTTGCTCCTTTTCTTCCTCCTTGACGTTGTGCAGCACCATCCTCATGTCCGGGACGTAGCCAGCGTCCTTCATCTGCTTGCTCAGCCTCTTTATCTCCGCGGCGATGAGCTCCTCCTCGGGATGAGACTTGTCCCCGGCCACAAACTCGTGCACCGTGTCGTTGATCTCGATATAACTGCAGCCTGGGTTCTTCCTAGCGGCTCTCCGGTTCCTCGTCTTTCGAACGTCGTCCCATCTCCCAGCCTCCGCGTAAACGTTGGACAGAAGCGTCACGGTCGAGTGCTCATCCTCCGATTCCAGCTCGAAGAGCTTGTCCGCTACTCGAGCCGCTCGCTTCGTGTCGTTGTGTAGCTTGCAGCCGCTTAGTAGGCTCGTCCAGGCAACCGCGTCCGGCAAGAACGGCATGTCGTGGATGAGGTTCTCGGCAGCCTCCAGCCTCCCTGCTCGGCTCAGGAGGTCTACCATGCAGAGAAAGTGCCGGTAGTCTGGAGCGAGGCCGTGGTCCCCGACCATGGAGAGGAAAGTCTGGACGCCTTCCTTGAGCATCCCTCCATGGCTGCAGGCCGAGAGAGTGCTCACCATAGTCACGTCATCGGCTGCCAAGCCTTCCTGTAAGAGCTCCCAGAAGTGCTCCAGCCCCGTCCTCGAGTGACCGTGCTGAGCATAGGCGGCGATGAGAGTGCTCCAGGATACCAAGCTCTTGTCACGGATAGCCGCGAAGACCCCCACTGTATCGTCGAGGCTGCCGCACCGGTTATACATGTTCATGAGCGAGTTCTCCAGGACGACGTCGGCCTTGCACCTTCCGGAAGCGATGAGCGCGTGGACTGCCTTGCCTTGACGCTTGGCACCGAGAACAGCACAGGCGCTGAGGACGTTGCTGAGCGTGATCTCGTTTGGAGCGACGTTTTCTAGCTGCATTTGCTTGAAGATGTCGAGAGCGTCCTTGGCCTGTCCATACTGCACGTATGCCACGATCAGTATGTTCCAAGTTATCACGTCCCTCGTACGCATTCTCTCGAAGACCTGCCTTGCCTCCTCCAAGCTGCTGCTACACTTGGTATACATGTTGAGAAGGACGTTGCCGATCACCAAGTCCGACTCGTAGCCGTCCTCTCTCACTTTCCTGTGGATGGCTCTTCCCTGCTCCAAGTCCTCCAAGTTGGTGCAAGCGGTGAGGAGGCCAATGAAAGTCACCACGTTTGGCTTTGGATCGTTCGGTCCCATCCGTTGGAAAAGCTCGAGAGCCTGTGTAGCGGCACCCTGCTTGGCATACCCGGAGATCATCGTGTTCCAGGCTATCACGTCCCTGTTCTTGAGCCGATCGAAAACTTTCCTGGCCGACTCCAAGCTTCCACACTTGGAGTACATGTTGATGAGCGCATTCTGGACAATCGAGTCCGAGGCATAGCCGCTTGCTACCGTGCGAGCCTCGATTTCCCTGCCTTGAGAGATGTCTCCGACGACCGTGCACGCGTACAAAGCACTGGAGAAGGTGATTGCATCCGGCTTCATTCCTTCGGGCTCCATGGCGTGGTATAGCTCGAGAGCTTTCCTGGGAGACCCGAGCTGTGCATAGGCCGTGATCATCGTTGTCCATGCACACGTTGTCTTGGTCGCCATCTTGTCGAACGCTCTGCGGGCGTCTTGCAAGCTCCCACACTTCGCGTACATGTTTACCACCGTGCCGGTGACGAAAGAGTTTAGATCAAAGCCGCTGCCCTCGAGCGCTGCGTGGACGAGCCTTCCCTGCTGGAGCGACTTCATAGTAGCGCAAGCTTCGAGCACGGACATGAAAGTGGTAGCGTCCCTCTTCACCTCCTGCGGCTCCATCTCGTGGAAGAGCTCGAGCGATTTCTCGGGACGGCCATTGTGGCAGTAGGCCGAGATCATCGCGTTCCACGACACGACGTTTTTCGTGGCGAGCGAGCTGAAGGCCGCCTCAGCATCCTTGAGGCTCCGGCACTTCCCATAGGCGCTGACGAGAGTAGTCCCGATGATCAAGTCGGCCGCCATCTTTTGCTCGAGTATGTCGAGATGGAGCATCCGCAACTCCGAAAGAGATCCAAGCTTCGAGCAAGCGTCGAGAACAGCCAGGAAAGTTGGCTTGTCCGGCTTGACAGACTTGGAAACCATGTCCTGGTAGATCTTGAGAGCACCCCTGTGATCCCCGTTTCGCGAGTAGCCAGCGATCAGTGCGTTCCAGGTGACCAAAGTTTTCTTTCCCATCTCATCGAAGGTCTTCCGGGCGAGCTCGAGATCCCGGCACCTGGCATACATGGTGATGAGCGCGGTGCCGAGGATGATATCAAACTCCAGCAGCCGGGTCTCGAGGATCATCGCGTGGAGGAGCTGGCCTTGCTTGAGATCTTTGGAGCTGGAGCACACCCCGATCGCCACCACAAACATCGCTCCATCCGGCCTCAATCCTTCCAGCACCATCCTCCGGTAGTAGCCAAGCGCCTCCCGGTAATGCCCATTCCGGGCAAATGCCGCGACGATGAGCGTCCAGGAGACCGAGTTTGGATGCTCGATCGCGTGGAAAACCGCGAGAGCATCGGCGACGCTGCCGCATTTGCCATACATCTGGACGAGCAGATTCTCGACGTAGATGTGCATCCGGCGCTGCTCGAGGATGTGGGAGTGGACGAGCTTACCCTGGGCGAGCGATCGGCGATGGCCGCATTCTTGGAGGAGAGAGCTGTAGGATGCGCCCGCGCTTAGGGCTCGCGAGACGCCGTCGAGGTCGGCGAATTTGCGGGCGTAGCTCTTGCTGGAGATCCTCTCGGGATCATCCTCGCTCGATCCCGCGAACGCTGCGAGGGAATGGAGACCCCGGCGCTGGAGCTGTGAGGACGCTGCTGCTCGTTTGCTCGCCAAGAGCAAGAGGAGCATATTCTGCCCTGGCAAGGAGAATATGCCATTCGTCGTTTGCCCCTTTTTGCCGCTTGAGAAAGATATTTTAGGGTTTTAAGGAGGGATCGATCGGATCGATCGATGGGAGTGCCCGCATTCTATCGCTGGCTCACGCGGCGCTATCCCTTGATCATTGCCGATGCTGTGGAGGATGATTTGGCGGCCCTTTCTGGCGGATTGGAGTATGACAATTTCTATCTTGACATGAATGGGATCGTGCATTTGTGTTTTCATCCAGAAGGCAAGGTAAGGAATTGAATCGATTGTAGCTAGTGGATTATTTCAACTCTTTCTTGCGAGCGCAGCCAGCTCCTTTGTCGTATGATGAAGTGTTCCATTGCATTTTCCAGTGCATCGATCGTCTTGTCGCAATCGTGCGGCCCAGGAAACTTTTGTACATGGCAATTGGTATCGGTTTCTTTCCTTTTTGTATTTTCCTTTTCTGGTTTGTTCATTGATGGAAAAATAAAACTTTTAGATGGTGTTGCTCCGCGGGCTAAGATGAATCAACAACGATCGAGGCGGTTTAGAGCTGCAAAAGAAGCTCTTGAGGTAAGAAGTTTTTTGTGTTTCCTGTTTCATTTGTTGGAGCTCAGCTGTTACCATTTCCAGGTCCAGAAGAGAGGAGAAACGTCAGATTCGAATGTTATCACACCTGGGACGGAATTCATGGCCTTACTTTCCGATGCATTGAGTCAATATGTGCAACTGCGTTTAAGCGAAAGTCCTGGTTGGCAAAGGATGAAAGTAAGTTATTTTTCTTCTTTTCCCTTTTGTAGTTTTTAATATTTTGAGTGAAACTTTGTCTTTCTACAGGTTATATTATCCGATGCTAATGTTCCGGGTGAAGGCGAACATAAAATATTTTATTTCATTCGCATGCAAAGAAATCTTCCTGGCTTTGACCCAAACACTCGGCACTGCCTCTATGGCCTGGTATCGTCTTTGCGAGAATGGATTTTATGCCGTGCTTCTTTTAGAGTTTCTAAGTATCTGTCGCTGGGGCCTTTTAGGACGCTGACTTGGTTATGCTAGCACTTGCTACACATGAAGTGCACTTCTCTATTTTACGCGAGGTACACTTTAGCTAAACGTCTAATCTCTTCTGATACTCGATTTTAAGGTGCCATGTCCTAGAAAGTGCTACCTCTGTGGCGAAGTTGGACATATTGCTAAACATTGTGATGGAACACAGAAAAGTACACTTGAAGAGACGGAAGATGTTTCGTATCAAGTAAGCACTGTACTTTGCGGCGTTGTGTTCATTTGTTCTGCACAGTTCCTTCACATTTGGCTCCTTCGAGAGTATTTGGAACTTGAACTCAAGATAGCAGATGCAGATTTTGAGCGCATAGTGGACGATTTTGTTTTTATTTGTTTTTTTGTTGGCAACGATTTTCTTCCGGGTTTACCAACACTAGACATTCGACAAGTAAGTGGTTTTCTCGTCTGAAATTAGGAATTTTTCTTACTTGCTACTTTACAAATCTGTCAGGGAGCAATCGGCATGCTTTTAAGTGTTTACAAGCAAGAATTCAGTAATATGAGCGGGTATTTGACGGAAACTGGCGAGGTGAGTGGCCTGTTCGTTCTCTATTTAAGTTGTATTGAAAGCGATGAAAATTTCAGGTGAACTTGAGAAGCCTTGAGTACTTTCTTGAGATGGTCGGCCAGATTGAGGACGGTATAATCCAAAAGCAGTTTCAGAAAGTAATGCTTTTTTTTTTTCAATTATAATCTCGTGGTTGTCCAACATTTTTCCCGCTTGACGAGAAGAAGAATGCTTCAAGCGTCACTTGTCCTGCGGACTCAGCTGTAAGTGTATGCATCCAAAGGTTTTATTCATTAAAAACTAAACTCGTCATTTGCAGAGCTGGAAGGCAACGTACTACGAAGAGAAGTTTGGCTCTGAGTACTCTGAGGAGCTTAAAAAGGGCCTGGTAGTAAGACAGTTTTAGCAGTATCTTAGAGAACTCTCATTTTGCGCTTTCCGTGTTCAGGCGCAAAAGTACACCGAGGGATTATGCTGGATATTGCATTATTATTACAGAGGAGTGAGCTCGTGGCAATGGTGATTTTTAATCCTGTGTTGGAAGTGTAGCAAAAGTCGAATCGTTCTCATGCTTGTACGTAATTCCTTTGCCATTTTCTAACATGCAAGTAAAATGATGGTGACGACGTGCAGGTACTACCCCTACCATTATGCTCCTTTTGCATCGGATTTAGCAGGACTTGGTGCTATAGAAGTCCGTTTTGAGGCTGGCAAGCCATTGAAACCTTTTGATATGCTTATGGGCGTTTTACCCGCATCAAGGTAACATCTTACTTCTAGCATACTGCTTTATGCTTCGTTGTTTCCTCGGATACAGTGCATGGGCTTTACCGGAGTATTACCGGTTGTTGATGACAAATCCAGCGTCACCTTTGATAGATTTTTATCCTGAAGGTAAAGCAGACTATGAACTTAACGATTTCACCTGATCTGCAAGTACTACGTGCAGAATTTGTTGTTGATATGAACGGAAAACAATACCCATGGCAGGTATTATAACGATCTCATTACAGTTTTGCATCTGGTTGAGCTCTTACTTTTGCAGGGTGTTGTAAAACTACCATTCATCAACGTAGAGCGTCTTCTTGTAGAAACGAGAAAGCTAGAAGGGACGCTTTCGGTGAGTTCTCTAGACTTCGATATGTAGCGTTTGTTCTCATCTTCGCTGTCACAGGCGTCAGAGATCAAACGAAACAGCATAGACCAGGAGTTATTGTTTCTCTGCTGTCACCAACCTCTTGCGAGATACATATACGCTTGTGTCGAGGACACGGAGGGAATCTGCGCAATAAATCCAATAATCAGGTACCTATGAAGAGAATTGACGTGCTCATTTTAAAATCGTGGTCGTGGATGATTCCAGCGAAGGCTTAAATGGATTCCTCACTTTGAATCGAGGGGCTCTGGAAGCTGCTGTACCACATAACGTTCTGTAAGTGAAAGTGCAAGCTTTTACTGCCAGGGAGCTAAACGAAATTCCATATAATTCTCAACAGCTGCGTAAACTACATATGCCCCTCAAATCATCCTCATATTCCAAGCCTTCCCGACGGGGTTATACTCCCTGCAAAGGTAACCTATGACGTGATCACATCCAGAACCAAAGCAAACCTTTCTACTCGCCTTTACAGAGCATTGTTGATCGAGACTTTCGAAGGCATTCTCATCGCGGGCGACAAAGAAGGTTCGGGAAGGATTTAAGAAAACACAAATCCTGACAGATTGTTTGCAGCACCTCGAGCGGAAGCTCCGATCCATACCGCGAACACGGTAGTCCCTCTGGTTAGTGATTTCTCGCTTTTACTTCGTTTCTTCCTCTCTGGATCTTTGTTCCATCTCAGTTTCTCTCCTGTGTCTCAGGAAGGTGGAGAGGGAGACGAAGTAGTCACAGCAGAACTAGGAGCGTCGATAGTCACGAGAGTTAGTAGACGACACTGGGCCAACGGTTGGGATTGCTTTAATGTTATGGATAGTTATCGGAATCCAACGGTTTAGCTGGGACTAAGATTTAGGGTTTATACCGATGAACGCTTACAGGTTTAGCAATCTCGTGGGCGCCCCGTATCGCGGGGGCAATGTCGCCTTTGCCGGTGGGAGCGCCGCGCTGGTGTCGCCAGTAGGCAATCGCATCTCTGTCACGGAGCTGCGCAAATCCGAGTGCTGGACGCTGCCTGTGGAGAATGGCGGCGATGTGTCTAGGGTTGCCGTCTCCCCCAATGGCGCGCTGTTGCTCTCCATCGACGCCAGCGGCCGCTGCATTCTCGTCAGCCTTGCGCGCCGCATTCTCCTCCACCGAATGTCCTTCAAGGCGCCCGTCACGGCGCTCGGATTTAGCCCCGATGGATCGCTCTTTGCCGTGGCCATGGGCAGGCTGCTCCAGGTGTGGAGGACGCCCGGGTGCCGCAAGGAGTTCATGGCGTTCCAGCTGCTCCACACTTTCTCCAGCAGCCACGACACGATCACTTGCCTCGGCTGGAGCCCCGACGGCAATTGGATCATCTGCGGCTGCAAGGACTTCGCGGTGAGGATCTTCACGCTCCAGAGCAATGCGGAGGGCTACAGGCCAGTCGTGCTCTCTGCGCACCGCAACGTTGTCAATGGCGTCTTCTTCACTGAGAACACCGAGAGCGGGATTGGCGCTTATAGTTTCTCCAAGGATGGCGCGCTGTGTCACTGGGTGTTCCACCCGGCTCAAGAGCTTCCAGCTCCCGCGCTCGATGGAGCTGACGATCAAGGAAAGTCGAGGAAGCGCCGGAAGGAGGACGTAGCTTTGCAAGGTATTTGCTTGGATCACTTGACTCCTCGGTTTCACACGTTTACCAATCAGCTCTCGAGGAGGAGGACTTGGAAGAATCCGATGGCCTTGTTCGAAAGGAGGAGGGAAAGCTACCTGTTCTACGTCCCGATAAAGGCCAGTGGGAGCTCATGAAGAAGCACTTGTTCCACCAGCATGGAAGGCTCTCGGCGTGCGACTACCACAGTGGCCTCAACATCGTGGTTGCCGGGTTCTCATCTGGAGTGTTTGGGATCTACCAGATGCCCGACTTTACGTGCATACATCTGCTATCCATCTCCAAAGAGAAGATAACCACCGCAGTGTTCGACAGGACCGGAAACTGGGTAGCTTTCGGCTGTGCAAAACTGGGCCAGCTACTGGTGTGGGACTGGCGCTCGGAGACTTACATACTCAAGCAGCAAGGTCACTACTTCGACGTCAACTGTGTTGCATATTCACCGGATTCGCAGCTGATTGCCACCGGCGCTGATGACAACAAAGTAAAGGTCTGGCTTTGATCAGTCTCTTCTTTCGCCGTCGCTTATGCCTTTGTGGTGTGTTGCAGTTGTGGAATGCTGCGTCTGGATTCTGTTTCGTCACTTTTGCCGAGCACACAAATGCAGTGACCGCAGTGTTGTTCTTGGCCGGAAGTAATGCCGTGCTGAGCGCATCTCTCGATGGCACTGTACGTGCATGGGATCTGATGCGCTATCGAAACTTCCGGACCTTCACCACGCCAGCACCCACGCAGTTTGTGTCATTGGCTGCAGACCAAAGTGGAGAGATCATATGTGCTGGAACGCTGGACACATTCCAGGTATCTTCTCGCTTTCCTTTTTCTCGATTCATTTCAAGCTTTACTGCTCTTGCTAGATATACGTTTGGTCCATGAAAACAGCGCGGCTAGTGGACGTCCTCAGTGGTCACGAGGGACCGGTTCATGGTTTGGCCTTTTCTCCTACAGACGTGCGTACTCCTACGCGACAATGCTTTCCACTTTCTAACACGTCTTGACAGGAATTCTTGGCTTCCTCGTCATGGGACAAAACCGTGCGCTTGTGGGATGTGTTTGAAGGCAAGGGTGGGGTTGAAGCCTTCACTCATACGCATGACGTGCTCACCGTGGTTTACCGTCCGGACGGAAAGCAACTGGCCTGCTCAACACTTGATGGTCAGATCCACTTCTGGGACCCGATTGACGGCTTGCTTATGGGTACGATAGAAGGCAGGCGTGACGTTGCAGGAGGGAGATTGATGAGCGACAGAAGAACGGCCGCTAACTCGAGCTCGGGGAAATGCTTTACGACCATGTCTTACTCAGCCGACGGGAGCCTACTGCTTGCTGGAGGAACCAGCAAGTACATTTGCATGTACGACGTCGCGGACCAGGTATTTATCACTCACAAGCTCGCTTGGCTTTCATGCTTACGATATATCGTCTGTGCAGGTTTTGCTACGAAGGTTTCAGATATCTCACAACTATTCGTTGGATGGTATTCTGGACTTTCTAAACTCGAAGAGAATGACTGCAGCAGGTCCTATAGATCTGATCGATGACTATGACAGCGACAACGAGGCCGGTGTTGATGGTCAAGTTAGAGGGAAGTTGGGGCAGGGACTACCAGGGGCACAGACCAATGCTGCGAGGCCAATTATACGCACCAAGTGTCTCAGGATCTCTCCAACTGGCAGGTCTTGGGCAGCTGCAACAACGGAAGGCCTGCTCATCTACTCAATGGACAACCTTGTTTTTGATCCCACCGATCTCGATGTGGATGTCACACCGGAGGTACAATTGTTGTTTAGGAGCTCACTGGGTGAAGCTTTTTTGTTGTTGCCTTTTTGTGTAGGCAATCAACGATGCACTGGAAAGCAAGCGCTATTCACGAGCATTGTTGCTAGCACTCCGGCTGAACGAGCCACTTTTGATTCAAAAATGTGTCGAGGCCGTAGATATCTCTGCGATTAGTGATGTTGTCTCGAACGTCTCACTTTCGTACCTTGGAACACTCATTGATGCACTTGCGCAGTACCTGGAGAAGACACCTCATTTGGAGTTCTTACTTAGATGGTGCCTGGTATGTATCAAGTTAGAAGTCCAGTTTTTAGTGCTAACTTGGATTTCTTACAGGAACTTTGCACTGTGCATGGCAGAACAATCCAGTCGAAGAACAGGGAACTCATGCCTGCTCTCAAGTCCCTGCTTAAATCCATTGCCAGCTTGCAGGAACAACTTGCAACAGCCGCTTCCAAAAACGACTACCTTCTCCATTACCTGTGCTCGGCCCCCACTAAGAGCAAGAGCGTGGAACAAAGCTTGGACTTATGCTCATAATGGACGCTTGAGAACTGAGGTGAAGTTATTTTTTCTTTTATTTGAATGTGAACTAAACAATTCCTTAGGTGATTGGAATGGAGATAGTTGCTGGCGGCATAACTCAGAAAACGAATAACAGCAGTACGTTTTACAGTAGTGCTGCTTTAATTTGCTCCTTGCGTGCTTTCCTAGCGGCAGGATCCATCTGACACAAGCAAGACGAAGAGGAGATCAGAGCTGCACCGAGCTAAACAGTAGACAAAACTTACCTGATCGACAAGGTTCTGTAACTTGTGGCAGCACCTCGAGATGTTGCTTCGATTTTGACAATCACTGAGCATCTGCCTCGAAACTTTCTGCACTCTCAGCTACTCTGGTTAGTGACTCATTGCTGGCCAGCCACTCCACAACCAGAGTATCGTCGGCCCAACCATCGGGCACGATAGTCCCTCTTGTTAGTGATTTCTCTGTTTTACTTCGTTTCTCCCTCTCTGGATCTTTGTTCCATCTCAGTTTCTCTCCTGTGTCTCAGGAAGGTGGAGCGAGAGACGAAGCAGTCACCGCAGAACTAGGAGCGTCGAGTTAGTACACTGGGTGTCAAATTCCAACGGTTGGGATTGCTTTAATCTTATGGATGGTTATCGCAATCCAACGGTTTATTTCGTTTCTGCCCAACAAACCCTAGAAATAAAAATGCTATGTGTTTGGGATCGAGCAATCGCTGCATGAGAGCATTGGGGGCGGGCGGCGCGCTCTAGGATTTCCAGGTATTGCGAGGATTTCTGCGAGTCCTAGTTCTGGAGAGAATTCCTAGCCGCGCTTGATTGAGCTCGCTTGTTCTTACGTCTAGAAGCTCGGCTATGGATGGTCAGGAGTACGCTGGGACTCGAATGCAGGATTATGGCGCCGCGGCCGCTGACAAGGCCGTGGAGTATGATCACCGGAGCGTGGCTGTGGATCAAAACGGCGAGGAAGTCCTAGGTATGTGTTCCAGGTCTTTTTAGAGCTTTTAGCCTGAGAGGATTGGTTTTTCCAGCTCCAAGCAACGAGGAAGAGAGGCTGTGGGGCATCGTGAATGCCAATCCAGCGGACTTTAATTCATGGACGCAGCTGATTCAAGAGACTGAGAAGCTCGTGCGTTTTTTTTTTTTTTTTTTCTTTTTTGGAGTTCTTGAGTCTCTCAAAACGTGCTAAAGCTTTCGTTTCTTCTTTTCTCTTCCAGGATGATATAGTCAAGTTTCGCCAGTGCTATGATACGTTCCTGGCCGAGTTTCCTCTGTGCTATGGCTACTGGAAAAAATACGCGGACCATGAGAACCGGCTGGCAACGCCCGAGAAGACCATCGAGGTTTACGAGAGGGCTGTGAAAGCCGTGACGCACTCAGTCGACATATGGGTGCACTACTGCTCCTTTGTTTCGGCGGCCAAGCCCGAAGATCCAGAAGCGCTGAGGAGGTAAACTTTAGCACGCCGGTGGCATTTTTCTTTATCCTGACTGGGCAGTGTTTTGCTTTGTCAATCCCTGAGCTGTCTAGCTTCTTTGTTTCCTTCTAACCGTTGGCTGGTATTTCTGCAGCTTTCATCCTACTTTAAATGTTTTTCTCCAGAGGGAAGGTTGGCGAAACGGTTTGAGCATGGTTTTCCTTTTTTAGTTCGTCCTCGCATTCAGTCTTTTCGTTTTTCTCATGTTCTTAGTGGGCTGGTTGCTTTTCTCTTTGCTTCTTGGCAACATACCTTCAAACTGGTGCCGTCGGCAATCGCGGTGAACACCACTGGTGTTGTAGGAAGGTAACTTTAGCTGTTTAAGAGCAAGGTCCCTGCCTTCTGCTGGAAGATATGCCTTCTTTGATGGGGTCAGGCTCATGCTACGTTTACGTTTTTTTTTCTTCCTTTATCAACTTCGATGGGATAACAACTATCTTTTTCATTTTTATTTTTTTTTCAGGTTGTTTGAGCGTGGACTCTCGCACGTCGGCACCGACTACCTGGCGCATCAGCTTTGGGACAAGTACATTGATTTTGAGTATTCTCATTCGAACTGGGTAGGCATCACTCAGTTGTATACACGGATTTTACAGATAGCCCTTCAAGCTTTGGATCGCTACTTCTCACAGTAAGAAAATTCTTAAAACAGTTTGCATGCTAATGCTTTCTTTCAGCTTCAAGGAGTTAGCCAACAATCGACCCATAGCGGAACTGAAAGGTCCTGAAGATAGCGCAGAAGCCGATAATACTGTTCCCGAGCAAATAGATAAAGCAGGAGCTGATGAAACTGCAGAAGCCCCAAAGGATCCAGAAGTTGAAAGGTTTATTAGAAGAAGAGAGGAGCTATATAAATCGACGAAGGAGTGGGATGCAAAAGTTCGAGAGTATGAAACCGCTATAAGAAGGCCGTATTTTCATGTCAAGCCTCTAGATGACTTGCAACTACTCAACTGGCATCGCTACCTGGATTTTCTGGAAAAAGAAGGTGACTTTGACAAGGTAATGCTGTCTTTTCCCTACTTGACGCTGAAACTAATGTATTTTAATTGCAGATAGTGAAGGCATACGAGAGATGTGTGATCGCCTGTGCAAATTATCCGGAGTATTGGATTCGCTATATTCATACAATGGAAGCAAAATCTCGATCTGAGATAGCTGATGATGCTTTGGATCGCGCACTACACATTTTTGTCAAGGTTTATCGAAGAGTTCTACGTTCTTTTCTGACATCTTCTGTATTGCAGAGACGACCCGAGATACATATCTACGCTGCTAGATTTAAAGAACGCAGGGAAGATGCTGCAGGCGCTCGAAAAGAGTATAGCGTTCTCAGCTCTGAAATAGCTCCCGGGCTTCTTGAGGTTATTTCTAAGCACGCAAATTTTGAGAAAAGACAGGTACATGGATTTGTCCCATTTTTCATACGATGCTAAGCGTATTTTTGTAATCTAGGGGAATATTGACGGCGCTTGTGCCATCTATGAATCTGCTTTGGAAGTGGAAAAAGCGAAGGAGGAATCGAGAGTTTTGTCTTTCTTGTATATTCAATATATCCGGTTCCTTTCTGAGGTGAGAACTTCTGATGCTTTCCTTTCTGACAGTGTGTGTTCTAGGCCGGACTCTCAGGTAAATCGAAGGAGATCTTGGCCCTTGCATTGGAGAAACTACCGAACTCCAAAGTTATCTTGGAGGTAAGTTTCTTTCTCCTTTTCTTTTTCTTCTCATTTGCTATACTCGCTGAAATCTCTTTACAGGCTGCGATCCATTTTGAGACTCTCTCTCCCGAGAAGGACATACCAAAACTCGAGGCTATCATTGAACGTGCTATACTCAGCAGCGGCTCGGACGCTGCTTTGCAATCATCTGATCGTGAGGAGATATCGAGTTTATTTCTTGAGGTTGTGACTTCTTACTCCTTTATCGTAAGCACTCACATTTGTAGTATGGTTTTTGCGGCAGTTTCTGGATTCTTATGGGACTGTAGAAGACTGTAAGAGGGCTGAGCTGCGGCATCGACAGGCATTCTTGTACTCGAGGTCCAGCGATTCCAAGAAGCGCTCGTCACTGGACAGCGCCGTCTCTGATCGGAGCAAGCTCGTCAAGACCGGTTCCAACGCCGTCGCTGGTTATACCAATGGACAAGCGCAGTGGAGCTACCAAAACTGGCAGCAACCTCAACAACAATGGAACCAAGCATACCCGGTAAGAACGTTTTGGTTTCAATGTCACGCATCTTACAAATCATAGAAACTCTTCGCAGGCTACGGACTATAACTATAGCAGCTATCCCCAGCAGCCGCAAACGGCACAAAGCTACGCTGGGTACCCTCAAGCTTATCAGCAACAAGTACTGTGAAAGCTCCTCTCAAGTTTATTGCTGAAAATTCTCTCATTTTTTTTTTCTTGGCTGTTTAGGATGGAAATTGGACTGCTTCAGCGTGGTAATAGAGAACTACTTAGGAGTGGGAAGACGATCTTATTGTTCTCTCTTTTGGAGGACCCTTGAAAGCACGTAAAATGTAACGAAAACGTTTTGAGGTTAGCTTCATATATATTAAGTGCTTACTATCGTTTGAATCGAGAATATCCAGTAGCAATAATTTTGTTTAGGGTTTAAACGATTCTTTAGGGGATTTTAGAGGGAGCGAGGGAGAGTTCCTAGAATCTAAGACGATCGAGCAGCATCGGGGCATTCTTGCAATACGCGCGCGATCGCTCTGGAAGAATGCAGGCAAGGTATGATTCTGGATTCTTCTCTTGCTTGAGATCGATCGATCGATCGATCTCGCTGCTTCCTCTCGAACAGCTACGGCGCGGACAAGCTCATCGTGTGGCCGCCGTGCGTGCTGCTGGAACATACGGGGCTGGGGCATGATCCGGAGACTGGGAAGAGCATCGGCCTCAATGCCGCGGAGGTGAGGAGTGCTGTGAGCGCAGTGGCGCCCAAGATCGCGATCCGCAGGGTTGTTCCCGTGTACAAGGAGGAAGGGCACAAGGGCCGCTACCTCGTCGTCTTCCCGGATTGCGACGCTGGGTACATCGACGCGGTGGCTCTCCATGATGCGTTCAAGGATCGCAAGAGGGGGCGTGACGAGTGGGGGCGTGACGAGCGGCAGGAGGTCCGCTATGGCGAGAAGAAGAAGGAGCTCTATGGATACTTGGTGGAGCCGCACGAGATGAAGAAGCTAGACAGGAAGAAAAGACTGGTGAGGAACTGGAAGGAGGAGAGTTTCCAAGAGAAAGTGATGAAGTCGCAGCGAGAGAAGATGAAGGTGAGGAAGGCCGCTTCTTTTCTTCTCTTCAAGTATGAGCTTGATCAAAGGATTTCTTTTGCAGGCTAGCGAGGAGAACCAGAAGATTGAAGCCGAGCTGCTAGCATCGGTGAACGAGCAAAAGAGAAAACTGGCGGCCGATGAGGCCGCCATGGACAAGCGCAAGGCAGAGATTATGGCCGTGGACGAGGAGTATGCTGCCGAGGAGCGCCGGCAGGAGGAGAATAGGAAAAAGCACGAAGAACAAGTAGGCAGTGCTTTGTCCATTCCATTTCTTTCGTTTCTTCTCGTATTCTGATGCGGTCGTATGTTTCTCTGTGACAGAAAAAGCGGATGATAGACCAGTTTGAAGCGGAGAAGGCCGAGCGATTGAGGCAATTCACCGAGAAAGAGATGAATATGCGCGCCGAAATCAACAAGAACCTCAAAGACGAAGAAGATGAGATGGCTCGCATTCGTCGAGACAACTCGTCTCTGGAGAGTAATATTAGAGTGCAGCAAGCTTTGGCCATGGCGTAAGAAGCATTCTCTGGTCTATTCCATCTTTCTCGCTCACTGTCAATGTTTCGTATCCTTGCAGGGACATGCGCGCTAGAACTCAAGTGGCTATCGCTACCGAAGCGCAGAAGGGCCTTGACGAAATCAAGACAAGGCATGAGTTCAAGTTGCGGGAGATGAAAGAGCGGCATTTGGAGGAGAGGAAGAAGGTAAGCAAGTTTGTATTTCTCCTTTTTTCCTAAAGCAGGTTTTTCTTTGTGCGTTGCAAAGCTCCTGGAGGAGCGCGCTGCAAAGAAGGAGGCAGCGTGGAACAGCTACAACGTCGGCCAGGAAGCTCTGGACAAGGAGATGGAGACCGTCCTTGGGCTTGTAAGTCTCTTCATCTTGTGATCCAAGCAGAGCTTTGTTCTAATGCTTCTTTATCCAAACTTTTTTTCCAGGAGTGCCAGGTTTGTTTCGAAGAGTTTGGCCCCGAAAGGCCCAAGGTGTTTTACATCGCCTGCAAGCATGCCAAGTCATGCCAGCCGTGTGCGGACGAGCTGTGGAAGAAGAACCACGAGTGTCCCCACTGCCGGACCGTCCAGAACAAGAAGCCTATCAAGCTCTTTGACTGATATTTATCTACCATACGTACATTATACTCCGGTAAGTTGGAGCTTTTCTGAATCAAGGCTCTTTTCAGGATCAACAAGAACTTGGAACTATGCATAGTGGCTTTAACTTTTGGAGCAAAGTATTTGGGGGATCTTCCACGGTTTTATAAGCTAGAGAATAGTAGTGTTGGGAGTGTACAAAATTTGTCGGGGGACCGACCAGACTATATATCATATACCTCTGCTAAACTTCTCTAAGTTCCGAAAGTTGTCTCGCTAGAATTTTCCTGTTCTTGCTTGACTTGTGTAAGTTCCGATAGTTGTCTCGCTAGACTTTTCCTGCTTAAATGAAAGAGAGGCTTAGCTCAATAGTGAAGAAGATGCTCCGCTCTGGAAAAGAGGCTTATACCCGACCTTGACGTTGTACGTTGCTCACTCGTAGGTGACCTCGGGCTTGAGCTCGATCACCATACGACAGACGGGACACTTTGCGGGGCACTTTGGCTTGCGGAGGTTCCAGATTCCCGAGCAGCATTCGATGCACATCGTGTAGTGGCCGCATGGGACGAGAACTGCCCTCCTTAGCTCCGATGAAAACTGCCTCGTGCAAACAATGCATTCCTGCGAAGGAACCACACGGAAAATGAGAGAGAAAAAAGACATCAAATGTTGGCAAGCGACTCACTTTTGGAGAGTTTTGTTGCTCTTGCTTGGCCCGCTTTTGTTTCTCCAGCAGCTCGTCCAGTGCCATTTTCGTCTCTTTCTCCACCGCCTCTTGGAGCTGAAAAAGAAAAGCAATCAAATCTCGGCAAGCTACGAAGTCAATTCACCTGCTTGAGCTCACTTTCGTGTTGTGTGATAAGCATTAACTCCTCACCCCGAAAGTCCGATTCAATTTTCTCCAGACACTTGCGCTGCTCTTCCTCATCCCTTTGTTGCTTGCCTTTCAGCTGCTCCATTTTCTCCGAGCTGCGGCAGATGGTGATCGCGAATCGAGAGAAAGAGAGAGAAAACAAAACTCACGTTTGTTTGGCTTGCTTCCGCAGCAATCGCTCCAGATGTTGTTTCTGCTTGAGAGCTTCGTTTCTTTGCCTAACCATCTTGGCTCTCCTCAAAACCATTTGATGCGCGGTTTGCTTTTCCTTGTGGTTCAGCTGCTCCTCAAAGAGCTGCATTTTTCGCTGGATGTCGAGCTACAAGACAACAACAAAGTAAGAAAACCAAAGAGAGAGTCTCTGTCACCTTAAGAGCCTCCGAATTATCAGCGGGCTGGTGTCTCTGTCGTAGCTCCGTCAGCTTGTCCTCCCGGAGCTTCAGCATGCTCGCTAGATTCGAATTCAGCAAAGTTGTCTTCCCCTGGGCGACCTCGAGCTTCCAGCTTTGAAGCTTTTGAGCCTTCACGTTGTCAGCAAGTTTTTCCTCATCCTGACACAGAAAACAAAAGGAGCTATAAAAGCAGAAACAAGAAGAAAGTGAAGCTCGCACCATGTTGAGATCCTTCATGTAGCTAGCAGCTTCATCCAAACTCATAGCGCACCAGTCTACCAGTTTTCTCTCCGGATCAATCCGCGCCATGTCTTCCGGCTGGAGCACCTTACACGGCTCCATCAAGCAGCGCAGCAGCGTCAAAGCGAGGGGGATCTTCTTGCAGACAACGAGAAATCCTTCGCAGACCCTCTCAACTAAAGCAAGAACACCAGTTACGAATCAAAAGAGAAAAGAAAACACTGGCACTTACTTTGATCGATCACACTCTCCTCGATCAAGCTCCGAGCCTGCTCCACGCTGGAGCAATCCACAAGCACCACCGGCGGCCAGACCACTTTCTTGTGATCCTCGAGCAAGACCCTGGAGCTCACCCGGGCCTCGGCGAGCTCCACTTTCTTCCCGCGATCTTGCGGCTTGGGATCGATCACCTCCACAAGGGCCTTGTGGTAGCCGCGATGCTGAGCCACGTACTTCTTCTTGAAGGCCTTGGCGTGAGCCATAAGACCCACCCAACCAGTGACCCTGGCGCGGCACACGCAGCAAATCTTGATCTCCATGTCCTTGAGGCTGGGCTTGGCATCTCCTACTTGATCCCTGGCCTCTGGAAGGAGCTTCTCATACGCGGCCCTTCCAGCCATCTCCTCGTCATCACTGTCCAGATCGTCGTCCTCCTCGGAAGCGCCTTCGTCTCCGGAGAGATCGTCCCTCTTCCGCTTGCTATCGTCCTCCATCTGCTGGCAAAGAATGCGAGCAAGCGATCAATAGGATGCGATCGATCGAGGCGAGGATCGGCGCCAGGGCGCGGAAGAACATACATACCTTTGGGCGCGCTTCCTCTTCCAGCTCAAAATCCAAGACTTTAGGTTTTTAGGGGGGTTTTGAAAATGAGAGGTGCGGTGGTTCTTTGCTGCTCCCAGGCGATGGCGCCAGGCGCTAGGGCGAGAATGCCGGTCCACGGCGCCAGGCGCTGGAGCTCCGCGGCCTCGGCCGTCGCTGCCAGTGTGGATCTCCGGGGCTGGGTGAAGAATCAGGGGGGATTTGTGTGGAGCGGCCTCCATGTCGTTCACAGTGGATCTTCTCACGGTATGGGGCTTGTGGCGACTCAGGATTTGCCTCAGGGTTCCACGATAATCACTCTGCCGCGAAGAATTCCAATGCCGATGCCTGATCCCGAGAATGCTGCGGTTTTAGCGCCATCGGAGGGAGTGATTTGCGAGATTGCTAATCGAGTTCCAGGTAGTCGACTTGAAAGTTCTTTTTTTCCTTTCCTGTTTCGCTGGTACTGACCTCGTCTTGCCAGGAACTGATAGAGGAGCTTTGGGCAATGAGGCTGGGCCTCAAGCTTTTGTATGAAAGAGCTCAGAAAGGATCTTACTGGTGGCCATATATCAGCATGCTTCCACACTCTTTCACCCTTCCGATTTTTTTCTCTGGAGTAGACATTGAGAGCATCGACTACGCACCTGTTACACATCAAGTGAGTCAACTTTGCTATCTGGATTTAAATCTCAATCGCATTTTTGCTTTTCTCTTTCAGGTGAAAAAGAGGTGCCGATTTCTCTTGCAGTTCTCCTCCGAGTTGGCCAAGCTAGAATCACTGCCGGAAGAAATTCATCCTTTTGCCGGTCAGTTTGTTGATTCGGGAGCGCTCGGCTGGGCAATGGCTGCTGTCTCGAGCCGGGCTTTCCGGATTCACGGTGTCACCAACAAGCTTTGCTCGGCAATGATGCTTCCTCTGATTGATATGTGCAATCATAGCTTCCAGCCGAATGCTCACATCGAGGAGGACCTGTCGAGGGATGCTCAGGATGTCAGCTTCTTGAAGGTTCGTTGTTCGTTGTTCTCTACCTTTCAAACACATCAATCACTTGACTCGTGTTTTTCTTTCAGGTGGTGACTAAACGTAACTTGGAGAAGGGATCAGCGATCACTCTAAACTATGGCCCGCTCAGCAATGATCTGCTTTTGCTAGACTACGGTTTTGTCATCCCTGACAATCCACACGATCGCATCGAGCTGAGGTACGATGGGAGCTTGATGGAGAACGCCAGGATGATAGCGGGCTTGAGTCGTACGGGCTCGCCACCATTTTCATCTCCGGCTTCTTGGCAAGTGGACCGGCTCAAACAACTTGGTCTCGCTGATAGTGGAGAATCACAAAAGGTTCACAGTTACTCTCTGCGAGAAAAAGAAGTAGCGAGAACTCATTGTTTTGATGTGTAGGTGACGCTTGGAGGTCCGGAGGAGGTTGATGGGCGGTTGCTAGCAGCGTTGAGAATCCTCCACGCTGAGAGCCAGGAGCCACTCGAGCGCAGAGAGCTCGTCTCGTTACAAGCTTGGGGGGTGGAGAGCATGGTGAGCAGTGACAACGAGGAGCGAGTGCTGCGAACGCTCTGTGGCCTGGGAGCAATCGTTTTCAACCAGTTCAAGACGACCATCGAGGAGGACGAGGCGAAGCTCTCGGACAAATCCCTGGCGGAGACGAGCAGGATCGCGGTACAGTTCAGGCTGACGAAGAAGAGACTGGTGGTGCGCGTCCTGGAATCGCTTAAGAAGAGATTGATGGATCTCAGAGCCGTCCGAGCAGAGTTCCAATAGGTAATTTATTTTTGTTCTGCTCAAATGCTTTCGAAAGGCTTCTAAAAGGTCGTCTCCACGAATCTGAAATGCAAAACTCACATCAAATAACCTTGTAACGAAACACGCCAAGTCCTTTGGACAACAACTGTCAGATAACTTCGGTTGGACTCCTTGGTCTCGCACGAGCGTTTCAACGCGCGTGAAAGTGCAGCGCATGTTGTTTTCTAGGTTCTCGTTGACTTGGTTTTCTTTGAACATCAGTCGGTCCAGTCCAACTGGTGAAGTCATGGTCCGAATCAAAAGAAGTTCCAAGGCCACATTCTATATTCCTGAGCGTTCATCTTTGATGATAGCTTGTGGAGTTTCCTGGTCTTTCATCGACGACTGCACTCTGGATGAATGGATTACTAGAACATGAAAGAATAAGTTGGTTTGAATAAGAAGTATCGGCCATGTATCTCTCCAATTTGCTGCTGGGTTTGTTTCTACTCGTCTTTCTCCCAACATCTCGGTCGCAGTGCCCCACGAATCCATCCGGGATCGCCAACGACACACAGACTCTGCTCTCTCTCGGTGACAGGCTTGGCATCAAAGTGTGGAACGAGACCGCCAATCCAAGAGCATGGCGCGGTGTGGAGTGGAGCTCGGACAACCGAGTGGAGGGCCTCGCTATGTCCAGGTTAAATCTCTCGGGAGTTCTTCCTTCCATCTGGGCCAAGCTTCCATCGCTGGCTCGCTTGGACCTCTCACAAAATAACATCTCCTCGCTGGAGGTGGCTGGTTGCAAGAACACGCAGCTCAAGCTCCTCAACTTGAGCTCCAATTCTCTGCGAGAGGTCCCGGCAAGCCTCTCCAGCCTCGAGAGCGTGGAAAGCTTGGACCTCAGTGGGAACTTCTTGGGAGTGGCTGGAGTTCCAAAGTTTAGCTTCACGCTGCAATCGCTCAACCTGTCCATCAACAACTTGACTGGGAGCGTTTCCATGGGAGGTAATCTGGGACTGGAGGCACTGGAGCTCTCGCACAACGAACTCAGCGGCTCCATTCCAGAGATTTTCGGGGAGATGACGAACTTGACGCGCCTGGACATATCGTATAACAGGTTTAGTGGAGATCTACCTGATATCTGGAGCAAGAACTTGGAGCTCAGGTACTTGGATATCTCCAACAATTCGCTCCAGGGTGGTTTGCCACCGAGCTTGCGAAGGCTACACAAGCTCTCGGTTTTAAGCGCTGGAATCAACTTTTTCTCCGGGCCACTGGAGCTGGAAGATGGCGACTTTGCGAGCATCGAGACTTTGCACCTCTCGCAAAACTTGTTTAACGGGACAGTGCCAGCGAGGGTGGGAAGCTTGACGAACTTGAGGCTGCTGGTTCTCTTGAGGAATCATTTCAGTGGCTCTATACCTCCGGAGCTTGGAAACTGCTCGAACATCAGAGAGATATGGCTCAACGGCAATGACTTGACTGGAACCATCCCAGGCGAGCTCTCGAAGCTCTCGCATCTCCAGCAGCTAGTTCTCAATGGCAACGACATCGGTGGGGAGCTCCCTTCCGGACTCTCCAACTGCACGGAGCTGGTCGTTCTCTGGCTGGAGCAGAACAAGTTTTCTGGAAATCTCCCGGACAGCTTCGGGAACTTGAGCCGCCTGCTCATTCTCTCGCTCTCCGGCAATGAGCTTGTCGGTCCCATCCCGGCCTCCTACGGCAAGATGAGCTCGCTGATCGGCCTCGACGTTGGATCGAACAACCTCTCTGGAAAAGTCCCGGCCATGCTGCAAAACGTCTCGACTTTGCAGTTCCTCTTCCTCTCGAACAACAGCTTCAGCGGCTCCATCCCGGACTGGCTTCCCCGGCTCAGGAACTTACGAGCCATGGACTTCTCGCTTAACAGGTTCTCGGGCGAGATATCGGCAAGCATCGGCCGACTGTTTGCCAACGTCCAGCTCTACAACATGAGCACCACCTACCCGCTGGTTCACGCGCAAAGCCTCGTCTATGCTGGCTTCGCCTTGCCAACAACCATAGACTTCTCCTCCAACCAGCTGAGTGGAAGCATTCCGGCGGCCATCGGCGACCTCTACAATCTCCAGGTGCTGGACCTGAGCCACAACCAGTTAACCGGCCCCATTCCCGAGTCCCTGGGAAACGCAAGGAATCTCTCCAGGTTGGCGCTCGCGAGCAATCTTCTGAATGGCTCCATACCATCGTCCATGGCGGACCTCTCGTTCCTCACCATCCTCGACGTCTCCAACAACAGCCTGGTGGGACGGATACCTGACAGCCCGCAACTCTCGTCCATGGACGCGGCTCTCTTCGCTGGGAACCAGCTCTGTGGGTTGCCACTGATCAACACCTGTTCGAGCACTGCTACGCCGCCGCATAGGCCTAGAAGAGACGGAGAAGGTGGTAGCGAACAGGACCAAGGAGGCGTGACAACACTTGTCAGCGTCGCCATCTTCGTGGCAGCCTTCTTCTACGCGTTCTTCTGGACTTTCCTGTGTACTTTGCGGCAACCCACAAAGCTGGTTCCCAGCTCTGTGGATGCTGGCAATCGAATCTCTAGCTCGTCCACCATGTTGCTGCCGTCCTTTCTAGCTTCCAGTTCGTAATCCATCACCATCGAGCGTGTGACCGCTTGATGAAGATCAATCTGCTCGTAGATGAATCCTTAAACTCTTCCTATCCGCTTTCAAGGCCGCCTCCTGTATAGTCTTGAGCTTATCATGATCCTCCCACAGCCCCGCGCTCCGGTAGATGCTCGCCATCAGAACGTACGCAGCCGAGTCTTTCTCGTCGATCTTAGTCAGTGCCTCGAACGCAATCCTCCCCACTTCCACGTTCTTCCACTTACGGCAGGCCCCGAGGACGCTCCTCCAAACCACAGCGTCCGCTCTCAAAGGCATGTTCTCGAGGACTTTCACGGCCTCTTCTAGTCGGTTTGCACGCCCGAAGAGATCCACCAAGCTGCTGTAGTGATGAATCCCACAAACAATGCCAGAGTCCGGGTCCATTGCGTGGAAAAACTCCCTGCCTCGTTCAACCAGGCCGCCGTGGCTGCAAGCAGTGATGACCGAGACAAACGTGATCGCGTTTGCTCGCACGCCATCTTCTCGCATCTCGCAAAAGGCTTCGAACACGCGCGACGTGTCACCCTGTTGGCCGAATCCTGTGATCAGTGCATTCCAGGCGACGATATCTCGGACTGCCAGAGATCCAAACAAGTGCTCGGCCGCACTCATAACTCCGCACTTCCCGTAGAAGTTTACCATGCACGTCCCCACAACTTGGTCGTCTTCCAGCCCACGCTTGTAAAGCTCAGCCTGGATTTTCCTTCCAGCTTCACTGGACCCAACGTTCCCACAGGCCGTAAGTCCCGCTACAAGAGTCCGAGAGTTTGGAGCACAGTCCATGCTCTCCAAGAGTTCCAACCCGAGCTCGCTCTCACCGTTGTCCACATATCCCTGGATCAAGCTCGTCCAAACGACAACGTCCCGGCTAGGCATGCGTTTGAAAACTGCTCGAGCTTTCACCATATCTCCACACTTGGCATACATGTCCACCAAGCTGCTCCCGACAAATCTGTGCTCACAGCATCCAAACTTCGTGGCGAGAGAATGAATCTCCATCCCCTTTTCTAAGCTCTGGATTCGCAGTAGCTTTCCATCTTCTCGCGGAACAGGTTGTTCGGACGCTGAAAGATGGACACAGGCCATGAGCGCAGCAATAAACGTTCTCTCGTCCGGATCGTTCTCCCGAACCATGCCGAAGAACAGCTCCAAGGCCAGCTTGCTGTCTCCACTTCCAACAGATCCCTGGATCATTGCGTTCCACGAAACCACGTCTCGGCCAGCCATGCCATCGAAGACCTTGCGAGCTTCCTCTAGCTTCCCACACTTGGCGTACATATCGATCAATGTGTTCCCCACGAACACGTCCTCACAGCACCTCTTGTTTGAAGCTTCACCCTGGATAGCCACCCCAGTTTCCAAGCTCTTTCTCTTCACGAGTTTCCCGTCGACATCCACCGCTTCTTCTCGCAATGCCGAGCTCGCACAGGCAGCAAGCGCAGCAACATACGTTCGAGAGTTTGGACAGCACCCGGATAGCTTCATATCTTCGAAGAACACGAGAGCCAGCTCGCTTTCCCCGTTGTCCACAAAGCCTTGCATCAGGCTCGTCCAGAGCACGACATCGCGACGAGGCATGCTCTCGAAAACCATCCGCGCGTCGGCCATGCTCCCACACTTCGAGTACATGTCCACGAGGCTGCTCCCCACGAAAATATCTCCACAGCAATGGCTTTCCATAGCTCCAGCGTGAACAGCGAGCCCCTTCTCCAGGCTCCTCGTCTTCACCATCTTTCCATCTTCTTGAGTGGCCTCCTCTTTCACTGCTAGATTCGCACAGGCCTTGGCAGCAGCAACGAAAGTCCGAGAGTTTGGCGAGCAGTCCATCTTCCCAAAGAACTCGAGGGCGACCTCGCTTTCTCCATTCTCTACGTAGCCCAGTATCAAAGCATTCCAGGAGACCACGTCTCGCCGCGGCATCCCATCAAAGACCGATCGAGCATCGAGCATGCTGCCGCACTTGGAGTACATATCGATCAGCGAGCTCGAGAGGAAAACGTCTTCGCTGCAAGACGGTCCCATCTGCTTGGCTTGAGAATGGATGCCTCTGCCGGTCCCGAGACTTGCCTCCTTGACGAGCTTCCCATCGACCAAAACAGCGTCCTCCTTCGCCGCGAGGCTGCTACAAGCCTTCGACGCGGCCATGAAGCTCCTGGAGTTTGGCTTGCAGCCCGACCGCCTGGCTTGCATCCTCTCGAAGAGATCCAGAGCCACATCGCTCTCGCCATTGGAGACGTAGCCCAGCATCAAAACGTTCCAGGACATCACGTTTGGGTGAAGAATGCTGTCGAACACGCGGCGGGAATCCTCCATGCTGCCGCATTTCGCGTACATGTCCACCAGCGCATTAACGACATGGATCCCCAGCTGCTTGCTCTCCGCCACCTGGGCGTGGATCGCCTTGCCCTTGCGCAAATCCCTTATGCTGCCACATACCTTCAGCGCCGACACCAGCGCGGCCGCCTGCTGATCGGGCGCCCGCGGCGGCGCTGCCGAAGGAGCGAATGCTGGTGCGGCCCCTCGAACCGCTGCCGTCGCCAAGCCGCGGAACAAGCGAGCTCTTCCCATCCATCGCAAGAACCCTAGATAATTGCTAGCAACATGGAAATTCAACGAAGGCCGTCGATTCAAGAATATCTGACGGTTGGAAATGAATCGGGGACCATTTACATTCACCTCTTCTCCCTCGTGACGCTAATGTTCTTCATCACTTCACACACCATGAAGGCAACCCCCACGCCCGTAAAAACCTTGAGGTACTCGGGCAAAATCCCCCTGTACAACCCAGCGTAGCCTCGGTTGAGAACAATGTGCCTCGCAATCCCAGGCTTGTAAGCCGGTGTCTATCTCCGATCGCCCTCGAGTTGAATCCTTCTCTTTACCGAATCGATCGGAAACACCGCTGAAAACAGGAACGATGGCGATCAAACGTAATCGATCTTAAGACGCTTACCTGTTGAGGCAGCAATTCCTGCTACTCCACCGGAGATTGGACGACTCGGGCCTTAAAGTAAACATGCTCCGAGGGCTCGAAACTAAGAAAAAATCCACCTTTAAGCGTTCCAGTAGTTGTAGAGAGTATCATACATGCAGAAGTTTATCACAATCGTTTGGGCCTACGGACTGGCAGGACTCAAGTCTATGGCGTTTTGCAGGGATAAAAAAACAATAAGCTCTTGAAGAACGTACCCCCTTTGGTACGTCCTTCGGGCATCTACCACGCACTTTCCACAATCCATCAACAAGAGAGCTTTCTTGGCCTTTACAAGGGGCTCTGGCTGACGCTTTGTAATCCTCTATATTCGAAACTCCACGCTTCCACTATTGGCCTTTACAAAGCGTTGGCCAGAGCCCCTGTAAGCTAAGGGGCTCTGGCCGACGCTTTGTAAAGGCCAAGAAAGCTCTTTTGTTGATGGATTGTGGAAGTTCCGTGTAGTGCTTTGAGGTTGTCTGCAAATCGGTCATTTCACCTGCGAGGTGAAGACCAAGGCGCAAAATAAGTCCCAAGAAACTCTCTGTCAAATCCATACTTCAGCTAAGAGCTTCTGTTGATGATTGTGGAAAGCGCATGATAGATGCCCGTGGGGGCACCCACCATCCCGTCCACGACACCACGTCTCGCTCTGCCATGTTGTTGTGCCGTTGTGTGATGTTCCAGAGAAGACGTTTGGCTGCCGGATGCTGGATCTCTTGGTGGCACTCAGACATCCGGCATGATTTCAGGCGCTTGGCTGCCATTTCAATCTGCTGGAGCCACAAGCTCGTGGAGCGTGATTGCTTGATCCAAGCTGATGGGTGCCATCCTGCATTGTTGCGTGTGATTTCGAAAGACTACACTTAAAGTCATATCGAGGATAGGTGATTTGTATTTCTTCCAGTTTTGCGCTTCAAAGTGATCTATTGTTGACTGGTTTTCTTTGAACATCAGTCCAACTGGTGGACTAGATAGTCATGGTCCTAAAGGAGATTTACTTTACTATGTTCCATGGGAAGTTCCAAGGCCACATTCTATATTCCTGATATAAAGTCACAATTGAAGTGATATACTAGCTTTGACCACGTGGTCAACGTGAGTCAAAGGGAAACTCAAAAGTATATTAAGGCATGTTAGGGTAAGGAATTTAATTTACCCCAAGGCTAAAGCTTTTGAGGTAGTTCAAGGGTGGTTAAGTGGTGAGGAACTTTAAGAGGAAGTATACAATAATTTAAAGAGACTAAATCTTTATTTATTAGTACTAGATTTTAACATTGGTATTAAAGGAAGTTGATTGTTATAGTCAACTAAGATGAAAGTTGGAATCCTATAGTGATGCTAATGATGGTGTCAAGGAGGTTTGAAATGTTATTCATGATTTACAAGCCTTTAATCAAAATTAACAAAAGATGTAAGACGAGATGCATGGCATGATAGATACCATATATGGGTATGTTGAGGTACTCAAGGCTGGATATAGTAAGTACTAGCTCAAAGGGCTTTATTGAATTTTATGAGTTGGTGGATCGACTTAAGATTTTAATTGTTTTTAGTGATGGTGGTGTGGACGAATGTTTGGTTTAACTAGCCAATGTGAAGAAGTTTTTGGCTGCTAAAGGAACTTTAGATATAAAGGTTTTAATGGCTATTTTAATAGTTTTGAGTGATGTAAATCTTCGGTGGTGGAATTAATTTGAGGAATCTTATGTTGTGAATAAAAAACCATTAGTGTCTACCATGGATGAGTTTGAGACTACTTTTTATTTACATTTTGCCCCTCACTACAATGTAGAGAATGCTTGCACAAAACTTTGACATTTCCAACAAGGGAAAATGTTGCTCGAAGACTATATTGAGAAGTTTACTCACTTGATTAGTTGTGTTTTAATGAAGAATTCATATTAAAATAAATCCTACTTCATGATATCCATTCCTTAGATCAATCTTGGTAAACACTTGTGTTTCACTAAGCTTGTCTAAAATATCATCTACACGTAGCATTAGCATTTTATCCTTCATTATATTTTTATTCAAGGCACAATAATCCATACACATCTATATTAAACCATCCTTCTTCATGACCAAACGAAAACTTACTTGGCTAAATAAGTCTAAGCTTAAGTAACTCCTTGATTTAGTGTTGAATTTCTTACTCTTCCACATAACTCAACCGAAATGGATACTAGTAAATTGGCCATGTCTCTATAATCCTATGCTTCACATCTTGTAATAGAGGCAATTTAGGAAGAAATTCAAATGGAAAAACATTAGAAAACTCTTTGAGTATAATCCATACTGTTGCTTCTCCCCCACATGTGGCTTAGTCCCCCAAGTCATGAATAAACAATAAGTAACCCAAAGTGTTTTTCCATTACGATAAGTCCACTTCAAAGATGTAGCAAAAAGCATAACAACTAAAGACTGAACTCCCTCTCCAAACCACACATCTTTAATGTTGCCATACTCTAGCAAGACATGCTTAATACTCCACTTTATTTCCAAGTTCACCTTCACCACCATAATATCCTAAAAATGAAATCCACACAATAGATATCCCTGAGATAAAAAGTCTCCATAAATATGATTTTGCCAACCAACACTTCTAGCCTCTATATATAAGCATCAAAATACTAAACAAAGGTATCTACACCTTCCACCATGTATAAAAAAACTCCTTGTATCACTAGGTTGTGCTTTTTAACAAACTTTGCCGAAACAGTTTTGAGTTTGGTCGGAAAGAGAGTGGCATGAGCTTGTCCATGTTGTAAATAAAAGTTAGTGGTATTTGGTGTTATAAAGCTCTATCGGTGGAGTGTGGCATTTATGTTACATTTTGTCGAATTGAGTTGACACTTGATACCCACATAAACCTTTGAAGTAGTGACATTATATCTCCATGTGATAATGAGTAATATGTTTACGAAGTTGCTTGGTTAAATGATGATCAGCCCCAAAGTGGTTGATGGTGAAGCTAGTCTACTTGCACAAAGTAGCATTGTAGTAGCTTTAACTGGATTCTTGATGGTGATCCATTGTTGTGAAATTTGATTTGGTTAGGCTTGACCAAGGGGTAGAGTGTCAAGAGAGTAATACTCTTGGGAGAGTTGTGGCTCTCAGCTTTTGTTCACAAGGGCGTGAACTTTATAAAAATAAATACTAAATTATAAAAAAAACAAGAAAAAAAAGATTTAAAAGATGATCCATAAAGTTAAAGTATAAAGGGAAGAAGGCTATAAACAAAAATGCACCTCTTTTTTCAATTAATTAAGAGTCTTGGGATACTTAGGGTTAAATGTTTTTGAGTTTGAGTAGTATTGAGTGGGTGACCTCCCATGAAGTCCAAATTAAAGAGCTTACAAGGGCTCAAGATTTTCAACTCTTGTTTTATTCTCGAAATCTTGGATCTCAATTTGAACATTTTACATACCATTTTTTCTATTAAATGGAGCTCTTGCACAACAATTTAATGGCTCCACTCTAGAGACTTTCACAATGATCATGAACATAATACACTTGGGTCTTTTGTATAACAAGTGGAGAGCTACCCAATATTTGGAGTAAGAACATTTGTGGAATGTCTTGAATAATTCCAGGACCAAGCTTGTGTTTGTAGGCCCTCTCTCAGTCATAATTTCAATTTTCAATATTTGGATATATGTTTAGTTTGCTTAAGTATGGTAATGGATATATCTAGAATATAGTTGGATATTTTTATCTTATGTATTTAAATTAATATTGTATTTATAATTTAGAAATTTTCTTAAGTACCTCCAAGTATATTTTAGCATATTCTACAATATAATGGTGTATATACATTTAAATTAATAATATATTTTTAATGTATAGTAATCTTAGCTTATATTAACTTTTTTTTATATATAATGAAATGATTTTAGTTGTAGGTAGCACACCCTGTTCGAGAGTGCCTATCAGAATATCCATAATATATTCTTACCCATAGTATCAATTGTTTTGTACTATAAGATGATTACAATAAATAAGGTATTATAAGTGTAGTATTCAATTTAGAAATGGCTTATAAAAAGAAAATGTATAAGCTCTTTTGCCAGCCTCTAACTTCACATAATAGTCATCCTTCACATTCCTATTTTTCCATTGGTACTATTGAGGTATCAATTTTATCCCTTCATAGAAATAAATTGCTTAATTGATTATATTTTAGATATGGAAGACAAAATCAATGATAAGGAGTTTCCTCAAGTTGAGGACTTTTACACCCAATTCATAATAAAGGCTCATTTTTTATTTAGTGGGAACTAATGAATATATTGAGAATTTGATTCTAAGGTGCCTAATATACCTTTTGTCTTAGGTTAGGAATTCATTTTTATGAGTTTGTGAAGGTTTCTTGAGCACTGCTACAATTACTGTACATTATTTCATATATAATTGTTTACAAGATGTTGAAGGACAAGATGCCAACACACAACCACTACAAAGTGATGGTTGCATGTGAGAATATTAATTTACAATTATGATATTTGACACTTATATTGACAGTTGACACTGATACTATCACCAAAATTTGATATATAACAAACTTTTCTAACCATTTGATATATAACAAACTTTTCTTTCCTAATGAACTCTAACTCCTAAAAGTAATCTATCTTTCGTGCCTTTAGAACTCTTTTAAATATTGTCGTATACATTTCTCCATCCTTTACACCCTTTGAAACAAATTGAGTATAAACTGATGCCTCAAATGGCACACCTTTATATCAAAAATATCTATAGACAATATATTTCAGAAAGATCTTAAAAATCATAGTATACTTAGTAAGCTATATCATATAAAATAAAAATGGTCATGTTAGCAAACCTCAACCCCTTGGGTTGTAAAACTACTTGATGTGGCTAACCCAAGCTTAACCTTGGGCAATTTAGTAGCCTGAGGGCCTAAGGTTATTTGAATAAATTCAACCCCCCAATTTGCCAAACTATCTAAGGTGGTTGGCTCTACCTCAACCTCAGGAAGTTCTATGGCCCAAGTGGCTAAGGTTATTTGAGTAACCTTGACACACACACCCTCTGAGGTGGCCGGCCTAAGCTCAACTTTGGGTAGTTCCACAACCTAAGGGCCAAGGTTAATCAAATAACCTTAGTTCTCTAGTCCATAAAATTGCCTATGCCCCAAGCTCAACCTTAACCTGTTTAGTGGTCTTTAAAGTTATTCAAATAACCTTGGCCCCTAGACCACAAAAATGTGTAAGGTGACTAACCTAAGCTCAACCTTCGGCAATCTTGCAACCTAGCGAGCCAAGATTATTTGAATAACCTCAAACCCTTAGGTTGCCAAATTACTTAAGGTGGTTGTCCAAGAACAACAGGAAGAAAATAAACAAAAAAAGCAAGAAGAAAAAACAATTAAAAAAATGGAAGAAAAGGTTGTTGGAAGAAATTTACCCTTGGTAGCATTGTTGCTCTTGCTGCACTCACACTTTGCTTTGTGCCCTCCACAGTGTTCAATCTCTCATACACTTAATCTCTCGTGGCACTGAACTCTCTTAACACTCAATTTCTCATGCACTCAATCTCTCCCATACTCATCTCTCAATGGTGCTCAATTCTCTACTTAATCTTTTGCATGCTCATCTACTAGTGCTACCTTCTAATGTTCTTTTAAATAAAAAAAAATCCAAACTATCCTCTATTTTTATAAGAGAATATGATATTATGTAAATATATTTATATTATTAGTATAGTCAAATTGGGTTTATTTGACTACTCATTTCCATATCTA